TTCCATGTAACAATTTCAGGGTTGACCCGGCTGACCCACATATTCGCGATATGTATTCTTTTGTACTGAGTTCCTTCCATGGGGGGGTGGCCAGGTGCCCTGAGCATGCTCAATATTATTTAGAGATCTTTCCCTCTATATTGCGAACAGGCTGCTCGAGGCCGCAACCTGGAACCCGGCACACATAACGTGTTTCTGCTGATGAGAATAATAAATGTTATCTTGTAGCGATAAAATGAACTAAACAAGAGGTGGTTGATCAAGCAACAAAGCATAATTAATTTGTCACATTGAATTAACATATTTGTAGATATAAACATCCGCTAAACATAATAGTGTTTAGAGAAAGAAACGTTGTTTTAGATAAAAAAGAACGAGACTCTTTGACCGTAAAGCTATGCTGTAACTCAAGCGTAAGTAGTAACTGGAATCAATGACCAGGACGTACGTAGGATCAACAGCAAACGATTTTGAAAGCGCAAACTCAGTAGTATACATGTAATAGTCCATAATATGTTACCAGCCATGCCTTCGAAAACGTCGTGGAATCGAACAATGTTTCAAACAATCTGTGTGAAAAATACCAAACATAGGTTGAAAAAAGCCTGCATTAATTGCCGTGATAAGTTCTCATACAGAATATCTAGATTAGGAACTCCTTCGCTGTGCATTCTGCTAAGATCTAAATATTTTTGCTGTTTGCTTCAGATCTAAATCTAACAGTCACCCGTTATCATTTGAGTGTATAGTTTGCTTAATGCAGGTTTTCCTCAAGGGTGTCGATTTCATCTTCAAGCATTCTTTTGAACAGATAATCGAGAAAAACTTGTAAACTGATGACAAAAGGATTTCAACATGTAACAATAAACAAGCTTATCTTGAATTATGATACAGAGTCGGTATACGTTGCTTTAATCAGTCGTGAAATACCATTAATACCATTACTTTAATAAGTCACTTGCGATTTTCCACTGGAATTACTTCAATCTACCCCCAGAAATTTCAGCCTCTGAGTTAGCCTTGGACTTGAAAAAAATAATAACTTCCAGTCAGTCTCGCTGGACGTGTAGCTCAGCGTCGTTTCACAAGGTACCATGGTCATTAATCTAATTGTAGCTAAGTACTGTGATGCGGTCGGATGTTCTATTAGTAACTGCCGGTTGTTTACCTGTTACCGTGGTAACACTGTGACTGCTCATGTTTTTATGAAGAGAGCTCGTGACTGTTGCTTGTGAAAGACTATAGACTATTCGCTCTTTTTGGGTTAAATTATGTATGCCGCATTACATGGTGAAAACGGTAAAACACACAGTAAGTTGGCTGCCTTTAGTTACATTGACATATAAATTATATAGATTTCTGTGCTAATTAGAGTTTCCTTTGAAACACGTTACCACGTAGAAGTACTGGTACGTACACCTTTGGCTGTGAGACAGTGTGAGACAGAAACTGAGCTATTAAATGTGTGTTTAATACAGTGTTCTTCCAGACAAACCTTGTTGAGTAGTACAAAATACAAAGAACCACCAGGCTATTTCTTTGTCCATTTACTTACTGTACTAATTAATGACGTCTATATCACATCTGGCACACTAGTCTCTCAGGTAATTTGGATCTAGTAGGTAGTCATGGCAAAGTATATCAAATTACAACTCGAAAATATAACGGTGCGTTGTCAAAATAATAAGCTGTAGCTGTTACACATCATTAATTGTATTTTTAAGAGTAAAAAAGAGCACAATTATATGTATGATAAGTATCCTTGGAATTGGACCATTCCAGACTAGGACAACAAATGACACAAGTTATTCATTTTAATCTGTCAAAATAAGCCCCAAACTCGTATATCTTACTGTGTGCACTATTTCAGAATTGGTCGTAGAACGCAGGACAACTGAATTGTAAAATAGGCCTGCCTACGTTTATTTACCTGTCATAATTATAATCTGCTGTACCTAATACCAATGACCTGTCTACCAAATGGGAAGAGAACAAAAGAAAAATACTGGCTTCGCATGTTGCTTTCAAGCCGTACTTTTTTTTTGTTTTCTTAGTTTCCATTCTTCATCTTTTGTGTTTTTGTCCTTTTACCTTTTTGTTTTTGCCACTTTGGGCAGTGTTTGCAGGGTCAACCCGGATATCGCCCGCCAGTTGGCTTTATTTAAGGGTCGGCTATAATGAAACTTAAAGCGAGGTTAACTCGAGATTTTTGAAAGAAGAGAGAAATGATAACTGTAAAATGAAACTTAAAGACCAAATTAGTACCCGTGTTTCGTTTAATTAATTTCCTTTAATTTAAAAAATGTAAAATGAACATACGAAATGTACGTTAGTGTTTCAGCCAGATTTGAAAAAACAAATACTGAAAGGGGGCTTAGAACGCATGCCAGCCATAAAACAATCTGCTTTCATTATTCACAATTTGTAAGGGATATTCTGGAAATATAATTGAAAATGGCTTCCACATGAATGAGATCCTTCGTTTATATTCCGTGTACCATTTTTTAAACTGAATATTTCTGTTTTTTTGTTGGTTTTTTTTACTGGCGGACATTGGTTGAGTGGGTGCAACGGGGATCTTGCAATATCGGCGAATATCTAATTTTTTCTCATCCATCAAAGCGCATAAGGCCCCTAGTTTAGTCACACTCCACATAAATACCACAAAGGCTTTCCTAAAAACCTTTGTGTTGTTTTTGGTGCTGAAAAAGTCGCTCTGGACTGTGCCCTTCAAACATAATGTGTTTTACAATCGAGAGTAACGTAATTACGTTTACTTGAGCAAGTTGTGACATTTCGATCATAGGAAAATCTTTCTAGCAGAATCGTTTGCCTTTGAGAAAGATTCTGCTAAGATCGAAACGCCAGGCCCTCCATATTTTGTGATGTGTAATTTAGGTCACTGTAGTCAGCAAGTAGTTTGCAGCTGTTTGGTATTACATATCTATGGAAATTGTGACACTATTTTGACAATGACTGGATTTCACTTTTGCAACGTCAACGTCTGAGACAACTTTTAATAAAAACTCACTACGTTACCAAGACAACACTTACGTCAATCCCTGCTTGTCTGACACATTCTGGTACGATATATCCAAACGCAGATGCTCGACAAGGGCCTGAAAGGGGGGTGGTAAAAAAGCCGTCTACTTTTTCTTGCTAACGCCGAGCTAATTTTAGTAGGCAGAGCCAAGTTTTAGATGCCAAACCACTGCAGCGGAGACTGCAAGTGATGATTGACAAAACCATTGTAATTTCACTGCCCGCGAGCAACGCATGGCCCCTGGACAAAAAGCTATAGCGATCCTTGCTCACCATAACCATTAAATTGCTTCGAGCCCAATTCCGTGTAAAGCCTACATTGGCTTCCAATGGATTTTAGGCCCCCATATATGGGTTTAATTGAAAGAAAATGGCGGGAATAAAGCCTTTTGTCGAAACTGGTCTATATTTGTCAGCAGAATGTCTTGTTATTGTGATAAGAGAAATGAACTTGCCTATTTAAGAGATCCTCCAAACCTCCATTTTATGTAATCAATAAGGTAAAGAAGGATTTGCTAACACATTAAAAACGAATTTCACCGGCCCCCATAATTAGCCGAAATCCTTGGTTACCGCAACCTACGTCATCATCTTTTCTACAAACTGATGAAAGGATGTAGCCATAGTAACGGAGCCACCAGAACTGCCTCGCGATGGAACTGAAGCCTTTTTGAGCTAGTGAGGGATGATGCCACTTTAAAAATTCATTTGCCGCTCATTTGTCATCTATCATTTTTATCATCATTATGCTGTAATTTTGAATGGGATGCATAATTATGGCTTTGCAAGTTTAGTTACGTTATAAGGTAAAAATCGTTGTTCTTCGAAATTGTTCGATCACGAGATTTGTGCAAGGCAGCTGTGTTAGCTATTTGTCTTTCGAGAAAACAATAGAAACTTCAATTGGCTCCCACCCAAAAGCCCAGATATTTAGCTTCAAACCTCCTCCCTTAGGTTGAGCAGACGGAGGGCGGATACAGACATTACTCTTTTACGATTGTTATTTTTTTCATCCGTAAAAGAGCCTCGCATGCCCTCCAAAGGAAGGTGTTGGTAGCATTTTTGTAATCATTGGCGCTCCAATTGGAAAGCTTTGCCCCTGGTGGAAACGGCACTGGTTTGATTGAACTGTACCTGCGGGCACAGCATTTTATGTAAGCTATAGGGAGTAAGATATTTAGACTTCTTGGGTCAAACCGTTCAAATAGATTTCTCAAAATCATTATTTTTTTCAAATACTATTTTCAATAACACTTTATTTTTCAATAACTCTAAGTTGCTCATATCCGGTAGTGCCCCTTAAAGGAATACTGCAGTGCTAATGACAAAGTCCACATGAAGGGCCCTCAATTTGGAAAATTCTTTTGGTAAACTAACATCCCTTTTCTTTTGGATTTAGAAATTAAATAGTAAAAAAAGTCATCCCCTTATTACCTAAAGAAGCTTCATTTTACCTGTTCGGGGGGGGGGGTTAATCCCTGTCAGTGCCCCTGAATCTGCATAATGAGCCCACCTTAATTAAACCAATGGTCCAAGATTCAATCCCATACTGCTGTCCCACATCCTTTTTAATTTGAGGCATCTGTTTTTAACTTGATGCTGCAGAGTGGTCATGTTGTTGCTCTTTCACGAAATGTGTTTCTCAGCTTGGATTAGCTTTGTTGAAGCTAACTCGGCCTCATGTCAGCTGGAAAGGGGCAGGACTTATTACAACCTGTTCCAACCTGCTGCCCTTTGGAGAGTACGTTCACTTTAGACATGATAAACGTCAGGCCATTAACTGGTTGTATACAGTTGAATGATACGTCGTAATGCAGGGAGCTTTCACCCGTATTTTGCCGCTTGTGCGCCATGCAACCAAAAAAAGAAATTGATGAAATATTCATGAATGTCAGATTGGCCACATCTCGAACGAAACGATGAAATGATGCTCTTCAGGCAGCATTGGTTCCGGGGAGTTCATAATGACGCGTAATGATGCATTGTCAAATGAAATTTTGCTGCGCAGTCGAAAGTAGTCCAGCACCGGCTCAATGATATAATTTCATGAGGCTCAGACGCCTGGTTCCAATGCGGACCCAGCCACACCCGGACTCGGACGCACTAGCAACAGCTTCAGCGACTTTCTCTCAATCATTCGATATCTCTGATTGAGTGAACTCCACGCGGAAGAAACGATTTCTTCACTGCTGTTGGAGACTCCCAGTCCACTCCATCACTGTCAGTGCACCACAGTCACTCGGCCAAGATGGTTCAGCGTTTGTCTTGGGCTCCCCTAGCAGCAGTTGTCTTGAGTAAGTCAAAACATTTTCTTGTTTGTTGTTGACATTTGATGGGTACAGCCTACGGGCAAGGGCTTCAGCTGTTGAGTTGTAAAAATGATTATACTGACCTGCTCACTCGTTTGGAAATTAATTGTGAAAGATGGCAGTTCCAGATTGTAATGTAAATTGGGAGTAACTTGAAAAAAAGGACACCTGTTTGATTTTTCTTGAAAGGAAACGTTATCAACAAAACTCTTTTCGTGACTATACGATGGGCATTAAAACATTGAGCCTTTCGCTATGAATTTCGCTCAATTTTTGCGCGTTTCGACATCGGCACTCCAAAAGGAGCTATATGCCTCGTTGTATACTGTTTCCTGAAGTTACTGTATATCGACAAGCTCGAATGAACTAATTTGTGAATGATGGCAGTTTTATATCAAAAGATAAATTCGGAGTTACTGGAAACATGAAGCATGCTTGTTTTTTTCTTATTATGAACGTTATTACCATTTTTCATTACTGCGCTGGTACGCATTTTGACGATGACACCCCGAAATTGTAGTAGCTGTCGTGATTCTTCAACTATAAAAAGACAAATTCTGGACAACATGATGTCGGCGGAGAGTTTGGAGATATAGTTTCTCTTATTACAATGTGGAATTAGAAACAATTTGCGCATCTTTGTTATGGAATATGACTAACAAATTATTATATCATTAAGAAGATGTAAATGACTTTTATAAAAAAAGTTTACATTGTGAATTTATAAACAAACTTTATATAATTGCCAAAGGAATATAATGAGGTATAAATTAGAATTTATGCTTACATGTATTTGCATACTTCTGATTTACAGTGGCTAATAACTTTTTAATTTCTTTGTTTGTTCCACTTACTCCTTAGAGGATAAGTGTGAGAGCTGGTTTCTTATATTATTTAAATACATCTACATGTTATTCATTAGCTGATCTAGGAGACGCACTTTACCCATCCCCCACTGTTCAGTTATGACAGGGGATGCATTTTCTATTTCCTGATTCCGTTTTTCAACTCAGTATTTAAAGTTTGCCCAGAGATGACAAAAACATGCCCCGTTTTACTTGTTCTATTTTGACCTGTTTTTATTTGTTTATTTAAAAAACGTGGAGTTTTGAATTGCATATGCTAATAATTTCTAAATCAATCTCGTGCAATCCACGGTGAAGGTATAAAAACCTTAAACGCGGCTCTAGAGTGTCAGGCTATTTTCTGTCAAAATGTTATAAACCAAAGCATGCACCGGACTATAATTTAGAACAGAACCATTGCGATTACAAATTGCTGCATTCACTCTGACGGTATGAAAACAGAATATTTCACAGTATCAGTCAAGTCTTTGCTGAAAATAGTGTTTTATGTTCCATTAACGGTACTAAAAATGTTAATCAAACTTCAGTGCTGACATCAGCAAAACATCTTGTTAGCAAGTCGTTAGAGCACAGACGACCATGCTGATAAGGTTAAGTGGTGAATAAATTGATACACTAGTTAACCAAATACCGGTACCCGACAGAGTATGGTAGAACATTATCAGGAATATGGCTTGAGGTTTCACTCTCTCTTTTCGAAGTTGAGAATGGCTCAAAATATCCTGAGACGGTTTCGGTGTTGTAATTATTGTGATGCTGCATCTTGAATTTGTTTCTAATGCCTAAAATGTCAAATGCAATGTTCTCTCATTTCATTGCTGTGTAATAAAAAAACCCAGTTGCCCACTGCTTGATGACAATGACCAGGAATACACAAACTTGAATTACTTATTTATTACATTATTTATATACATTATATTGTAATTCTGCCATGTTGTCACACTGTATTGCATTAGAGATTTTTGCATGTATTTAATTTATATCAAATGCATGTACAATGTATTAGGAGAAAATCTTCTTTTTTTAAAATCGAAATTGGGGCTGAGTGGGCCCGGGTCAAGAAAATTTAGAAAAAAAGTCGAAATTTAAAAAACAATGAAAATTTTGAGTGGCCCTTATAAGAGGGTTGGACTTTTTGATTCTATCAAGGCAAATCAAAATAAATAAATAAAAACGCACATTTTGTAAAACTTCGAAGTAGCAAACATATCTGTGGACTAAGCCAGATAAACATTAAAACGCGTGTCACTCTCAAAAGACCTAGGCAAAGAGGACGACAAACCTGAAACATTACAATTAAAACTAATGGCAAAATAAGCAACACTTTTAGAAATTACATTATTTGGAAATCTTACAGAAATTAGAGTCGCATAAAATGCATAGATATTACAACAGTACATATATTACATTTGGAACTTTGTAGCATTTGCAAAAACACCGGATTTGGCGATAAGAATAAATGTGTTTTTGAAAAATAGCAAGTGCAGCCTTATTTACAATGGGGACCAAGTAAGTTACAACTTTCTAATTTCACAAATCTCTAACATTGTCCTAATAAGATTTATTACGTAATATCTCCAATGATTTAGTAGCAGAATAGAAAAATAGTAGAGTGGTAGCAAGTTAAGCACCTATATATACGACACTGCGGCACTGACTGGAGTCATTTGACTTTACGGCTTATGGTGGAAATGACAAAAGCAACTGTATCAGTAATGGAATTTTGAAAGTATCTTCGGTATAGAGCCTGAAAGTAAACGGTCACGCAGCAAACTTTCGGAACCGTCACGCGGTCCTTCTATGGGAATTTTACATTGGGCCGTCCTATCATCTCGTTCGATAATTTTTGGAAGAATGATTCCAACTGACACCACCCCATGAATCACTCATGTTGGAATTTTACCTTTGCTTCCTCAAGTAATATTTAGGAAAGGCACCTGGAGATGGGTAAAAACAAATGTCATTGACGACCTTTCACGTCCGGCGATGTCGTACCTAGGTCTCCTTGTTTATGCACGTTTGTTTTCACTCCCCGACGCGCTTAGGTGAAAACGAGATTGCACAACGTTGCTGCAGTCAATGGGCTCAAGATTTCGTTGAGTTGACATCACGCAGTTGTTGTCAGCAAAGGTTAGATATAATATCAGAATCTTTCGTAAAAGTAATTTATTGCTTTCAGTTTATTACTTTTTTATAGTTTTTTAAGAAGTAACTGAACGAGAAAATATTACAAATTGTAAAATCTTTGCACCTTATTTTTCCTCTCCAATTATGGATTCCGAAGGCGCGCCATTAGCGGTCAACATCCGGGCTCTATTGCCGATACATGGGATTATGTCATGGCTCTATTCTCTACCAAGTAATTCAATTCAGAAGCTTCTGAGACTAAATGCTGTATAAGGTCCAAGGACGTTGACGTTAAAATAACCAGATATTAGATAAGACTTTTCTATTTGTAATTACCGTTAATGGAAATGACACGAGATAACATGAAATGGGTATAGAAATGGATTTAGTTTAATTACAATTTTACAATATTGAAGACGGATATCAATGCTGATTTCCAAATGTACAGCCATGTTTCGGGTTTACACTTACAACAAGTTTAAAAATGTCACATGGGAAGAAGTTTAAAAATGCCAAATGACAAAACTTCAAGCAGTCGTGTTTCATGACTTGAAACGGGCGTGGTGTTCACATCTTGGGATCTATCAGAAATTAAGTTCAGCAATAATTTTTGTCGTCTGATCTTTGCTCCTGGGTTTGACGAAGTGTAAAAACAAATCAGGTGCGCCTTAATTTATGAATATTCATAATAAGCAATGCCTTATACGGACAACCACTCTTATGTATTAGTACATGCTTATGTAAAAACAACACCCGCTTCTTCTCTCTGTGGTGCGAAGTGTAAAAATGATATCTAAATCTAGCAGCGGGGACAAACCATTATTTTGCACGGGTGACGTATGTTTCGCGCGCTGTGTGGATATACATGTACGTGTACATGATGCAAAACAAGTATAGGTGCCATCCCCTGTTTCAATTTTCATGGCTGAAAACATCACTCACCCACCCTTTCCCCTACCCCGTCTCCCCAATTTTCGGCACAAATTTACACCGTCTGACCAGGTAGGCAATGCACTTGACATAGGCTTGTGGTTTCACAGTTCCGATCAAGTGTAAAACACAAGCAGGGACTTGTTGAATCTACGTCCTGGTTAAAAATCTGGATGACCATTGTTAGAGAAAACAAAGGACATCCATCACCTGGGAAGAGGATAAACCAGGAAGCAGGAGTAGAGAATCAACATTTCCTGTGGAGCAAGCAGGAAACAATCCGAGAAATTACTAAAGCAAAGCTCAAAGGAGAAATATGGAATAGAATGTAAGAAAACTTAAATAGGGAAACCTACAAATGAAAGCATGGTCGCAGTCCTACATGCTAGGGGCTATAACCCCAGACCTCATTTGGGTTCGGGGCGACATAAAAATGGATCACCCTACACAAAAATACATTTCAAACTATCTAGTTCACTGCGTGCGACTCTCCAGTAGCCATCAAAAGCTGGCCTGCACCGATGAGGTTGATGTTCGGAGACGAGTATACCAAAACTTCTTTTGGTCAGACGGTTTCCGACCTGGAAGATTATCGAAAAGCCGTGTTAGTTTTTACCTGTTTTGAAATTCACCACTGAAATATTTCAAAGCTGCTCTCCTGAATTTATTGAATTATTTATTTAATTATCAATTTAATTATTTATTTAATTATCCATCGTTGGTACTCATGAGAACCAAGTTATGGAGTGGAAAACAATGTGTTCGCAAGGTGTATATTGTGTCGGCAACAAGCTCTCACGAATACCTCTTTCTTTCTCTTGTTTTTCATTTAAAAGCCATCGCTGGGCTTCATGAGGTTTCAGCCAAGGTTTGCTACTTAAGTCAGGAGCCGGACCCATCTCACAACTGGAGGCTTCGCTGGTTGATCCAAGGAACACAGGAAAACTGCATATGCACCAGCATCCGAGTTGGGGGTGTGAACCTCAGATTCCAACAGCAGCAATCCTACAAACCGTACCTCACAGATAACCCACTGTTTACCACGGACGTCGAGAAAATACGCGACTACTTTGGATGCAATTGTAAGCGATGATTTATTTCTCAGTAATCATGCTTTTTGTCGTCGCATCCTGAAAACGACTGCGGAACCTTATTTATTTTACGAAATGGTGGGCGCGTTGAAGTACTTTGCTTTTGTACGTAAGGAATTAACACCAGTGACAAAAAAATCTAACAGATAACAAATGACAGTCCCATTTCTCCTCGTCTTTTTTGTTTAATAAGCAAAGTTATACAGTGGTCGAGCTGAATTTAATTATTCTGATTAAATATTTTTTACTGGAATAAAAACAGAGATGCCCCCTTTTTTGTCATAATTCGTTCACATCTCACTCTTTAAAATGTAAGTTAACTTTTTTTATCAATTCACCTGACATTGGCTTAAACTCAACAATATCAGAAACCTATTCAGGATAACACATGAAATATTTGGACAAAAGGTATCCGTTACTGCCTAAAATATAATCTCTTACGGTCAGCAGATCTGTGTTACTAGTCTTTAATATTAATTTTTTTACAGAGCAAAAGATACATATTAATTAATTTTAATGAAACTGTGTTGAAGTGGAAACAACGCAGCTTGTTTTCATTCAAAGACCAGCATCTACTTTGTCCAAAGGGAGTATCTTGAACGAGCATTGTTTGCACGTGAAGATATAGATTTGCATCCTGGCAAAACAATGTATCTTGGATGTGGTTGGTTTCGCGCTGTCAAGGTTCTTCTAAGGAAGGTGTTCAAAACAAATGAAAACGATGTCATTTATATCCGATCTGCTAAATGCTCCGTAAATAAAGCCAAGAGCAAAACTACACAAGAAATGTGTAACACGTAGATACAGGGGTTTGCTTGAGCAATGACGATACTAAATCGTTTGCAACATGATGAAAAACATTGTTCTACCAAAAGAAGTCGCAGGATGCACCTCAAAAACTAGTCCTGAGATAACAGACTAACTCGAAAAAGACACTTAACTATGTACAATTTTCTAACCGTGCTGATTGGAAGCCTCAAATCAGCACAGTCTCTCCTATTTCAAAACAGCGTGGAACAAGTTTTTGTAGTAACACAAAGCCCCTCAAATGATTCTTGACTGAGGTCAATTTTTGGTTGGACGAAAATGAACACAGCGAAATCAAGTAGTAAAGATACACGTCTGTTCGTGAAATCGAAAATCCACGTTTACCTACACCCTGGTCCTTTTCCCAATGCATTTGTTTCCATATGGAAGGGGCACCTATGGCTAAGTGCATCCAGCGGTGAATGGAACAATGAAAGTCTGAGTTGATCTGCTTTTTTACCTTTCAAGTCAATAGGTCTATGTTTTGTACTTATGCGAGGGTAGTCAGGGTTTTTTTTCGTGAAAGCACACAATGCAGTTATCAAGATTTTTGCCCCTGAAAACTTCAATGTAATTTTCTCATTTATATGATGTTTTGCTTGAGCAAAAAAGTCAAGTAGGATGTTGTAGAGCAAAAAAAGTGCAAAATATCGAAATGTAATAACAAATGTCATTGTCCAAGTGTTTTGCGTTTCGTGAAAACGGTGACGACTAACACAGATTTTGGCTGCACGGCATTAATGCGTCTGATAATAGGGACTTTTTTGTTGTTTTTCTATACACCCGGTCAAACACATGTATGTTTAAGAGGGAAATTATTAACTGCGCATGTCCTGTTTTAGGGTCATTTGCATGCGTAATGAGGGCCATGGGAATTCATGCCATTGCAAACAGCAAATGCAAACAGCTGCTTCATTTCATGAAATTTACGTCTTATTTTCACTTTGGAAAAAGAATTCCTGCCCGAAATATTTTCATGGTAGGAGAAGGCCTTTTCCTGACGTGTTTTGCGAAAATAAAATGGAGAAGAGTACCAACGTGGTCAAACTAGGGATTTTTGTGAAAGAAAGGTGTGAAGGTTATAGATTTGTTGACAGTTTTGCGCTAGAGTTTTTCTCTTTCCCACCGGATGCGTTTGCATATCGATCTAACTCAGTACCGATTCCGTTCGTCCCGCATAATCTTACGGAATTGTCAGCCTAAGAATTCAGTGACTCCGGAACAAAAAACGAACACAAAATTAAAGTAAGTTAACATTAAGTTTATTATTGAAACCGAAGTCTATCCGTCAATATAAAACTGCCAAGAAAATGTTGACATTCACGGTACATATTCCCAGTTTTACATGTACTATGCACGCATGAACCGCATGAACATGTACATGTACACCGGCTTCGTCGAAAATTTCCATTTACCTGAACATGCACACGTTCGCCACGGCACGCGTGTAACAGGCCGGAGTGTAGGCCTACTTTGCAAGATATGTGGCTGGATCGGTTTTGTGCATGTAAAACACGTATAGATTACGCTGTGCAGAGGTATCAAATATGATTCATGAAAGACGAACAAAAAATCTAGTTACATCGAAATGGTAGTATTGACTGTGTAGTTGGGATTCTGGCCTGTCGTATGCAGTGTCTCGCTGTTCTGGAAAAACTTATAAAATTGATAAATTTAGTGGAAAAAGACCAAATGATCGATTAAAAATTGACTAAATTTATCATCTTAGCAACCACTTTGAGGCTAAAGTTCATATTTAGGTAGCATTTCTTTTCGTGATCCTGCAGTGTTTTATTCGGTTTAAGCCTTCTAGAGAACATACAAAGAGTTTCAATGTGATCGTTTGTTAACATTGTGCAAACAAACTCTTTAAAACGAGAAGGCTCAACAGAGGATTGACAAGTTGCTATGGACATTTTCGTATGGTTCACGAGGGTCAGGACAAGTAACGGCCGCGCACGGTCGAAGTCGTTAATTTCCACACGTATGGGGGTTAAACACACGTGAACAGTGACCGTTTAGCATGCGACACGCACGTAGCCGAGTAACGGAATTATCACTTCGGGTTCCGCAACCGGTTTATCCATAAGTGAGTTTAACATTCAAATGATCCACATAATTGTACCTCTTGTTTAGGGAGGAATAATGAAGTGTACCATTGAAGATACTCTATCTAATACCAAGTGACATGGAACAAAAGCAATTGTACGATATGTTCAACGTCGTCGTGTGCTGAAGAGGTGGTGTGGATTCGTCACGAGTCATATCATTATAACGACATTGTGACGTGTGATAATGAATTATAACTGCAAACAAGGTGTCATGTCTTACCGACGTTGAGCAGAAGCAGCCCCTCATCGGTTGAACAGCCCCAGGTTGGTGGGGAGTGTCCGATCGAGCGCCATCTTGCCGGTATGCCTGACTGCGAGACAAAATCGTAATGCAGTTTCCACCAAAGGAGCTTATGTTGCTGCATGGAGCGAATTATGCCCTCTCTTGGCCTGTTGCGTTTCACACCAATTCATTTCTCCCTGTAGATCCTGCTGACTGCCAGGAGTGGCTGGATGCAGGATACAATACCAACGACGTGTATACCATCTACCCAATGCAGTATCAAAATGGCTTGCAGATCTACTGTGATATGAAGAAGAATGAGTCACGTTGGATGGGCCTCCAGGGAGGTTGGATTGTAAGTGTCTTTTTGTATAACTTACTCTTTCACTAATATCTTTTAACTTTATCAGTCCCAAACAAATTGGAACATTGCGATTGAATTGCTAGAACTGTTTAAGCACTCTGCAATGTGACGAGAGAAGAGCACATAGAACAAAAAGTGATATTGACAACAAAATACAGAACTTGTTGGCAGACCCCGCTTATTTCAAGAAAGGCATGACAGTTGATTATTGGCCATATTATGGTCAACAATTAACTTTGATGAAAGTTAAAATATTTTGTTTCATTTTCAGGGCTGATCACAATAATGATCAAGTACTGTCAGACTGTGCTATCTCCAATTCAAAACAAGTGTTAATTTCTACTGAATGACTTGAGCACATGCATGTTAGTTTTGCAGAAGTCTGCTAGTTTGTTATCACGAGTTTGTCGGGGTTAACGGGTCCGTATACAACGTTCGTGTCTATGTTGCGGGCATTGAGACGTTCGTAGTCGTCGGTTAAGATGTACATTTGGTATAATTTAGGTAATTGTAATTTTTCTCAGGCTTAATATGTCACGCCAATTAAACGTGCGTTATCTTTGCGAAGGTTTTCTGGTAACTGTAGTGCTTGTGGAGTCGCGGTTATTTCTACTTCCTCGTTGTGTTTGATCACCGAGTTTTTCTGCTTCTTCGTCCAAGTCTGATTCTGGCTCGGGATCGTTTGGTTTTCTTGGTCTCATCTTTTTGTGACAACCATAGCCGCTATTGTCGTCATGTATAAATACTAAATATGATTCACCGGTTAAATTGAACAGTTGATGCAACAAAAACAATCGTTACATTGGTCACAATTGGTACAGAGTTTACATTCGGTTCAGTTGTCACAGCGCTCGCAGGTATCGGAATTATTGCAACCGGTACATTCTTTACAATTGATACACCTTTCACAATCGCGATAATTTACGCAGTTGTTGCATTGGTCACAATCGTCGCATTGGTCGCAATGTTTACAATCAACGCAAGTGATGCAGTTTGTGGAATAGTTGGTGCTTTCACACCGATGCAAGTTTCGCAGTTAGAACAATCATGAGATCTTTCACAATTAGTGCATTGCTTACAATTGGTAGAATATGAACAACTTTCACTATTTTCACAATGTTCACAGTTGGTGTAATCTCGACATTCGGTGCAAGACTCACAGTCTTTGCTATCTATGCAATTGGTACATCGGTCGATATGAATAGAATTTAAACAATGATTGGAATCACAAGCATTTATCACTCTTTTTTTGTTTTGTTTTGTTTTTTTGGGGGGCAAAAGTAGCAATTGACGTTGTGTTTGTTGTTTGGCATATCTGTTTTTATTATAGGTTTTTAAAATTCTATTTCATTTTTTTCTTGAAGCTTCAGGGGAGAGTAAGGTTTTTTTCATTTTTTCCGAGAAGTGGGGGAAATCCCGGGAAGTAGGGGAAGTCACGGGGAGAGGTCCGGAAGTAGGGGAAGTCACGAGGGATGGAGAGGTCCGGAAGTAGGGGAAGTCCCCGAGAAAGGGGGTCGATGAGGTATAGGAGGGTAGGGCTGCTCTGGAACTGTCCATCACATTCTCCTTGCCCAGGGACAAATACTACAATGTGATGTAAGAATAATGGAGACAGCGTGGATCCGGACTTGTCTTGAATATTCAGCTAATTCCTGGGGACCAATAAATCGGAAACTGTACGTTTCCAAAGTTCGTTGCCGACCCCTGCTAAAATCCTCAAGTTGTGCGTTCAGTAATACGGTTTCTAAACGGGGCTTAATTTCTTGAGTATTTATTTAATCCTTTCCGGCGTAAGGTAAACCTAATTTTGATTAATGTATTCAGCCCCATTTAAGTACTGTTATAAACAGAAATGATGAGATTGAAAAGCAATAAGAATGTTATTCCCTGGAAGCAATGAACGGGATTAAAATAGAAACACCTTTAAAACACATTCCTAGATAGGAGACACATTTGCACTCTACCTCCGTTGTATCATACCATAACGCCCAGCCATATAGGGGATCGGGAGAGTGGCTTAGCACTTGAACTTGACATTAACTCTCCAGTGAAGTACTTCTTTTGGCTTTGGCCGTGGTGAATAGTTTCTGATCGGTTACAACATCTCTCGACAGACCTTTCAATATGCATATCTTTCTATACTCTCAAATCTCCTAGGCAAAAACATCATGATTTGATTTGTTGTTTTCTGTGACCATCTGTTTTCAAGTGCATGGTTCCATTGAGTTTAGAGTTCACATAACACCTCTGCTCAGATATCAGACACAGTTGTTCACTGTCACGGTTTCAATACCAAAGCATCGATCAATACAGCGGAGTTCCTTAACAGATAAACCCTCCATCATTTATTTGCTAAACAAAGCCACAATATTCACATCGGCATGTGTAAAGATTTTCATAATAAAGTTATTTCATACTAAAAGTACCTCAACAAATCAATTTTAATTGCAAAAAAAAAACTCAAATGTTCACATCAGTGACAAGGTAAATTTAAAACGTCAACGGTTGCTTCCCAAAAAAATTAAGGTTGAGATTTGTAGACATTATTAGGCTGTCATCTACAAAGTGTGTCCCCCTGCATACTTTTCCACAAAATAAGTCCTCACTTAAACTTGGGCCGGGCTAGAAGTCCTCTGGAACACCGTCGACATTTACACCTTTTTAATATCACACAACGCTAATGTTGGTAAATGTTAAAAGCATTCAGATGATGTGCCCGCTGCAGCTTAAAATAGATTTTTTTTACATGTACACTTAATTAAGCCCTCTGTAAGATCAGTTTTTATCTGTCTTGGATATCAAGCGTATTTTCGTCTTTTAACGTTGTGTAAGTTTCCGATGGATAATCTTTTGTTTTGTCTGTATGTTTCTATTCTTAATTATGCCAATAGAATAAGGTCAGTCAAATTACACTGGTGTGGCTACGTCCTGCTTTAACCGTTAAAAGGCAAACAAGATGTGTTATGTCAAAACGTCCAACTACATTACTACTACTCAAAATGTCCAATTACATTAGCCTCAATACATTGTTCCTATATTTATATCGCTTAGTGTACGTAGAACGGCCCACCCAGCAGACTTTACTCCCATCAAGCTCGAATAGTCTGGAATAACTGGAATATTCCCAAAAGAAGGCATGAGTTGGTATCTGCTTCCAATTTGTCGAAGGCGACTTTTACACTTCACTGGGCCACTTCCCGCACGAAGTTGGTCTCTTTATTTGAGCATTATCAGTCTGAAAACTGTCCAAATCCAGAAATTGCGATGTAATGGGAAAACAAATATTACTTCTTACTTCCACTTTACTTTGTTGCCACTTCGCGCGGCATCCCGCTAGTAGTATAGAAGTCAAAACCCATGGGCTTCGAGCTGCACCAAGAGAGGGCGCAGTTTCTTAGCAACGGAGGCTCAGAATTCGCTCGTCGCCAAGCGCCCGAACAGTGCCATTGACGAACCAAAAAATTAAATAACGCTTCGCTAACAAGAAGTGGTAACCTTGGAGTCACAGGTAGTGCAAAATGTAGCCAATCACAGTGCAGGGCTATCAGCCCTTCCCAGTGCCCAATTTGAGTGCTGGAACACTCTTGAAAGGCCGGAACTGAACTTTGCTGGTTCACGAACGACCAGGAAATGCACGCGTCACAGTCGCACCGCTACCAACAAATTGAACACTCCTAACCAACGTAGCTTTCTTCAACCGATGAGGGGGTGCTTATGTTCGAGGCAGATGTGGTTTTTCAACTTTGAACTTGTTCCTATGGCCATTTTAAGTGCAAAGCCAGACAAGTGTGTAGGCCCGTGCACATTAAGCACGTCAAAGGACAAATTACACATTTTAAATTAACTGACCTGTTTCGGAAAAATCGGTGCTGCGCGAGAGCAGGAAGTCTTAGTAAGAAAAGAAATAAAAAAATATCATATTTAGAAATCGAAAGGCTTGTTAAATGTGATCAATGTCCTGCTGCGATATCAAGGACACTGTCAAACTCGGAAGGATTCCGCCCCCAAATCTTTTAAGGTTGACGCAAGTCGTTCAAAACTTAGCACTATTCCAACGAATAGGCCTATGTTTATTTAAATTAAGAGAGCTATTTCTTCGATCACATAATAGTTGAACTGGGAAAGATTCAAATCAAAATACTGGCAAACATTTACATTTTGTTCTCATTTTTTCTGGTCTAAAGTGGACTTTCAAATGAAAGAAAAGCAGAGTAATCTGTGACGGAATGAATAAAATGTTTCAAACTTTTACATTTCATCTGAGTGGTCCCATGAATTATAGATTGAGTAGGAAAAACTTAAAAGCAGCTGTTATTTACCCCCAAACCCAACAGCGATATGCTCTGTTTTCGGATAACTAAATTTAAGACAGCCTTACACATATCCTTACAGTAATCAAGGGGAATAAATATTATCATTGTGGAGCACAGGATTATTCTAAAATTATCAGACGATAAAGTTAACCATTGAACAGCAGCTGATATAGTCTCTTGCATTAGAAAGAAAAACAAATCTCCATCTCTGAGGGAAGAGAATCCTCAGTCCTTCAGCCTTGGTCAGCCTGGGTTCACTGGCTTTTTGCAAGAGACTCGTTATTTGTTGCGTGAGTTCTTACATAAGGGTTTGAAATTCTCTGTCTTTAGGGTAGTTTCTTCGAAAAACCACTGCTGCCCCGCTTTGAATTTCCGCAACCAAGTAATTTTTGAATTCATTCATCCCCAGCCTCAATATAACATCGTTTATATCAGTTGAATTTCTCATAATGTGGCAGCAGTCTGAGGGGATGGGTGGAAGACTAGGGTTTGGAAGTCGATGACAATTGTTCTGTATGTTTTTTAACTTGTCTTGTCTTCTCGACATGTAACTCTCGATGTTTTTGTTATTGCTGTTTGTTATACTTCTTTATAATGATGTGTAATAGACCTCTCATTTATGTATAAATGTTCTTTTGCATTATGGTTTTAGTATTTAATTGTCTGGTGTATCTAATTGTGTTTTGTCAATGTAATTTTACTGGATTTTTAAATGTCCAGCGCATTTGAACAAATTATAATGATATCGGCTCTTTATAAAATGAATGAATTATCAACACTGTTATTATGTCTCAGTGAAAAAAAATACAATAATAGTGTTTAAGGTTAAGGAACATTGTATCGGTTCGGGCGTTGTAAACCAGTAAATCGAGCATTAAAAGGTGCAATTAACACCATTTGAAGTTGCCATGTCATACATGAATTGCACAGTTAAAGTTAAACACGAATGGATGTTGACACACTGTACTATTCAATATCTACAACTAAAACAGACCAACCAAAATTCGTAATGTTCACGAAAGTAGTACTGAAAGTAGTGCAAAGGGAAAAGAGACACTTGTTTGAACAAAATTGACGGATCTGCACGACTTTGCAAGAGTGTTGATAAAATGATTTCTTTCCCTGTAGGCCTAAGTTCCAAGGAAGCAGCAGGAATTGGTCAAAAGCACATTTCAGGAATGCAATGAGGTGACGGTATAGCTGGTACAGGCATGTATCCAGTTTAAAACTCATTACCTCCGCTCTGAGACAAAAACGAGGAAAGGAGAACTGGGGAATTTATTTTTTTCTAATGTGAACCAACATCCTCAAACCCAAACCAGGTTGAACTTGATATTTGTGATGTTGGACGAGTCCTCTTCTTCAGCCTATTTTTTACTCTTTAAAGTGATTCATGTTAAATTGAAATTCTCTCTGCAGTAAGTTCTTACGGGTAGTGAAAGCTTTAAAACCCCCATGGAAATATGAACAGTGGAAGTTCCACTAGTTTATGGTAATGAAGTTACCTACTTCAGCCTGGTTTGGGATATATAGTTGGTCACAAATAACTCAAGTAAGTGCACCAATACCACTTTAAATGATCACAGCATGTATAATGCTTCATCGTCATGTCCATTTGTCTGCAAAAATGCGACATTAGGAAAATCTCCTGCCTCACCCACCACCCTGGAACAATTTCTGGATCCGCTCTGTTGTATCTACGTTACAGAACCGCCTAGGAGTTTCACTGCAATCAACACAATAGAGCTGGGATTCTGTCTGTCGTTGCAGGTGTTTCAGAGACGCCAGGACGGGTCGGTGAATTTCACCCGTAGCTGGGCCGAGTACCGTGATGGATTCGGTAATCTGACAGGGGAGTTCTGGCTGGGTAACGAGTATATTCGCCAGCTCACCGGGGAAGGCAGATGGGAACTGCTGGTGGAGCTGCTTGTACGTAAGGCAACCACGTCATTGGCGAGATACCTGATGTGGTACCGGACATTCAACATCACTGGTGAACAATACACCCTGCACGTTGGAGGTTATGATACGACCCTACATCTAACCGTATGTGATGTTGCACAGTGCCGATCTGGTGGTACGTAAGCTTATAATCTTCAATTTGGTGTTGAAATTTAAATACACTTAGAGTGGAGTTTCGGAGATATATCATCGTAAAATTCCGAGTTTTGTAGATAGCCTACATTTATCATCGCATTCAATTTTCCAAAAATTCTGCATTCTGAGATAAATATTGTCATTGAAACCGTGCCAGTTCTTGGCAACTATTCCATTCTGTTGCTGATCCACAAGCACCTCCATTTCATTTATATTTATATAAGCCTGTAAATGTTGGACGGTAAGACTGATCGAACATACATGGAAATGGATACCAGAGATAAATGCAGTTTTCTGATGCAAGTTATGGACACTGACGCCTGGTGATCGCTTTTATGGACAGAGCCAGTTGAACAACAAGCCGAGTTTATTCGCGCTCGTTGTGTCTCGTGCGAGAACACTATCACAAATTATAAATCATAATATCAGATCATGTTCCCGGTCGTTATGGCCCCCTCCAGTGACATAACTAAACGGGGGCACGTGCCCCCAGCAGATGCCTGTACCCCCCGGTTTCCTCCAAGTTGAAATCTCCGTTGGGTTTGAGTTTATAATGCTATGCAGCTTCAGCTTATTTTCTTGTGGTGTCCCCTTGAAAAAAAGTTTGAACTCCCAGGTGCCCCTCAGGAAATAATTTACACCCCTGCGGAACTGCCAAATCGTGACCACAGCATACCGGTAGCTTATTCCAAGTTGTTATATCCCCAGGGAATTGCATGACCTGCAGCCCAAAAGGCAAACAGGTGTAACTTTCCATTATTTCACGTTATCACTTTAAATCAGATAAACCTGTAGATTCCGGTAACATTTTGCCACGTCCTATCGGAGCAAAGATTAAAAGTAGCGGCTATCAAACTTGATACTAAATTCCCACTGGTATTGGTTGTGAAATTAAATAAGAGTACAATTAAGTGATAAAAAAGAAGAAACCTTTTAGGATTAATATTTCAGTCTTGGGCCAAAGGAAACCTCGCCTGAGGTCTATAATGCTGGTGTCCAGAGTAAAAATCCTAGAGAATGTTTCGCTTGGACTAGTTGTGAAAAAAATCCCTTTCAGCCTTAAACCGGTCGGCTGGCCAAAAGTGCCCAGATTGCTAAACTTAGTCCGAAGAAGCCAAGGTGGAATTCACGTTTCCTGTCACCTCAGACACCATCTCCAGATATACTGCAGTGGCAGTAAATAATATTATAACACATGGGCTTCAGATTATTTAATACGAAAGCCCAATCATGCCAATAAAGTATAAATTTTAAGCCTGGCACTAATTCGTTTTAAAGAATTAATAATTAGAATCAATCCGAAATAACGAATTACTAATTCGAAATAACGAATTACTTGAGCCTCCAGAAAATGCTGTTTTGCATTGATTCTCATGTGATTCGAGGCATACGTCTTCATACGTTAAATGTCCATCCCTAAAAATATTCCCATGATAAAAACCATTTAAAAAAATACTCACAACTCTCTGAAGTGTCCAAGCTGGATAGTAAAATGATGTTCGACGTGTCGTCTTTCATTTACCTTTTTTTTTCGTTATGACGAATTAGTAGTTCGTTAAACGAAATATTGTCAGGCTGAAAATGTATACTTCATTGGCACGATTGGACTTTCGTAGTTTAAACAGAGTGTATAGCACGTGTAATCCTTCAACCAAGGTTAGATTTAAACAATGACCTTTCCTTTCAAAATTCAGATGTTCGTGCCAATATGCAATCAAACTGAAGCCACCACTCTAGAAACAAATTACAGAATCAAAATGTTTCAAAATAATTGAATATTCCAGGGTGCCACTCCAAAAATCACATGTACACAGTGTAAGGTTAAAGCTTATTGGCAGTATTCAAGTTTTGAAATTTTATTTTATTTCCCGAGTAAGTTTTTTTTTTCAGTTGTAAGTCTTCACACAATAATATAAAACCCGTCTAAAATATTGCACTCATATCACGCTCCAGTTCAGGAAGTTTTGATCAAAATGCTTTAAGTAACATATTAGTGAGGAAGTAGCCAATCTCTATGTTTATTTTTTAGGCCAAAAAAGTCTTTCGTCTCTGGTTATCGTGCGCCTCAATCTCGTTTTTTTTCTCTCTCTCTCTCTTTGCAGTGCAGTATTGCAACAGTGCCCTCTATTGCTGCACTGACTCAACATTTTGCCGACAGCTCAAACTTTTACTCAGGGCGATAGACCCCGACGAAATCGATGTTAAACAATAATAGCAGGCTATGGATACGAAGTTTTTTGTTGTCAGCTTACAATCATAATCAATCTGGTTTAGTCTCATGAATCGACAACGTCTGCAGTTGTCTGTTCAACCCAACCCTGTCTGACCAGAGAAAAAAAAACTTGTTATGGTCTTGGGTTTCAATTTCAGGAACATTATGATGCATTCCATGCTGCCTTCTGCCACAAGACAGACTTCAAAAGATCGATAGGCTCCAACGTGATCTTTGTGTATGGAAATGGGATAAAACCTGTCCTTGCCATATACAAGTCTACATGAGCATGGAGAGAATGAAATAATCCGATCCGTCTTGCCCCAAAGCTTTGATTTAAATCAAATAAATTGTCCCCAGAAACAGGAAAGTGTATTTTGAGGTTAGGCTGGGACCTCCTGTTGCACTGAGACCAGGGGATCCTGTGGACTCAAGAAAAAAAAAGGCCCCGTATATACACCCTATAGGTTGCAGTACATGTTATGAAAGAAAATTCCACGGTTTACGTATGGAATACAAATGGAAGTCTGCAAGGGGTGGGAGCGAGCGCCATAAAGAACACAATTATAAATTTTATTTAAATCCACTCAAATTTCCCTCTCAAAAAGTGCCAGTTTTAAGGGGACTGATTCGGGTGACCAATTATTTCTCCAATTTAATGGATGTCTGATTTGTTCCTCTACTGTCTCACTTTGTTTGTTGTCTCCTCGGCTCTGTTTTCGTCATTTTCTTTCAGACGATCGCAGAACCTATGGTGAGATTCTCCAAGTATCATGATTCAAATCCAAAAGGGTTAAAATTCTCTCAATTCAAATGAAAAATGAGTGTGATTTCATCCTTGCAATAGATCAAAATTTCACTCTATTTTCCTTTGAAAGGGGTTAATCTTGAAACTGATTCAATATAAATTCAGAGTTATTTTCGTAAAGCGTGTCGTCCCTAGTTTCACTCTCGATTGAGTGGTTACACATGAATACACCCAAGGATTTTGTACGTGTACACGTACATTATGTTCAGTGTTGAAATTATTTTTCATCAGCTACAATTGCATAACGCATTCGTATACTACCTGCCCCCAGCCTTTAATTTGAATAAAGATCATTACGCTCTAGTTAAAAAAATCGAAACTGATTAATACCGATTACTTCTCTGGACCGATGATTTGAGTGATGGTGTCATATCATACTGTGGCCCATGACAAATGCTATGCTTGGAAATTATGTTTAATTCGAAAATGCATTTTGGAGCTTCCCCTTTCCCTGTTACCAATGTGAAAACATCTTCCTACAAGTTGGGTTCCTACACAGAATGAGTTTACATTGGGTACAAATAGGGTAAGGTTGGGGTTGGGTTTGATGGAATGGGCGATTAATAGGTTTACGGTATAGTTTAAGGATAGATGTAGCGTTCTGGTACGAGCTCTATGGTTCGTGGTACATAGTTTAAACAATTTGCAAATGTATTCGTGAGGAACAGTCGAGCACAAGCAATTACTCGCTGGATTACTAAAAGAAATCCGTAAGACTGTAATGAGAACCACTTTCAACTGCCAAATGATAAAACTGGCTCATTGCGGAAGTGATACAAAATAAATGTCAATTGAGGTCAATTGGTAATCGCAGCTTTGCTGTGGTAATGATGCATACAGCAGACACAAAAAGTGGCAACAAGTATGATGGCCTTTAGATGGTGGCGTACGTTTTGTTGCCCAGAAATAGAGGAATGCGGATTTTGAAGGGATGACTAAACTAAAAGCGGACAGCGGACACCTCGTGACACTAAGGGTGTGTTTATGATACAGATGCACATGTACATTTGTGATGTGGATAGTCGCACTTCTGCAGAGCCTTACATCAAAAAGGCGTATTTGTGGCTTTTAAAAATTTGTTCTCCCTTTTTAAGTGCTTTTGAATACGTTTGGTTCTTGGGAAGTAGGCCTACATAAAATTCTTCACAATCTGATTATTTTTTTTTCTCACCACGGAAAAGGTGGTTGGGGAAGATTCAACAGCCCATCCCCTGTCGAAAAGTAGGGATGTATGACCCCATTCCCCAGGATTTACTCTGATACTTCTAGAGGAATAATAAAAATGGCGAAGGTGGATGCTCAGATCATTACATTAAGTTATTAATTAGCCTTAATGTTGATAAATGCCCTTTCATCGTTTCTGTTCTCATTGAATGAAAAAAATGAAGTGTGTCCTTCAACGATCTCAGTCCCAGTAACATTGCTCAGTGCGAAAGCAAATAGCGGGACAAATTTGATGTCGAAAGAGCATTTGCGCCAAAATTCTCACTTGCTGGACATAACGTCCTGAACGTCTCAACGAGTGTTATAGGGCAACAGAAATTCCACTTTCAATCCGTTCCAGCTTGGATCGAACTTACAGCTACAACTGTGGAATGGATTTATTGAGATTAACGTGTGTAGTGGATATACTTGGTTATATGAAAACGTTTCCAAGTGCTATTTGACAGTGTTTGGGAGCACGTCCGAGACTGTCCCTGAAATTGAAGGATTTCCACTTGTTAGAGACAAACTCATCCTTCCAAATCATAAATTGTTTCCCGGACAGTTGGATGGGACTTCTTGTTGCCGCACTCCGAGACTTGGGGATATTGTAGATTCAACGGAACAAAAAGTTTAGTCTGCAGTTTAAACATGTTATAAAAGGAAATTTCTACTGTCTACTTGTGGAATTACAATTGAGACTTTGCTAAGAGGAGTTTGGGGTTAAAACGACCCCCATTAAAGCAAAGCTGTTTCTTGTAGACCTTCCTCTTAAAAATTTGGGGGAATGATTAAGTATTTGAATTAAGGAATTTGTATGTGCTTCCCTGCTGTCCGACTTTGTTTTTTTATGTCTTTAATGATATGGGCTCTGTTTTCGACATTTGTTTTCAGGGCTTGTATTTTTTGTGGTCCCTCGATGCCTGCAGGAAAAAAACCCAAAAAACCTGATGCAAACTGCTCTCTTGCTACATTGACGTAAGATAAAAATTTCAAAAATGGTGGAGGGCCTGACACTTTTAAACTAGCAGAAATATTTTCGTTGTTGAACACGCATAACCAAGGGTTCCATTCGTGCCATGTATAGTGAATGCGTTGTTGGAATTATTTTTCATTGACAAGAATCACAAAAATGCATTCGTGCACTGTCTGCCGCAAGCCTCCTGATTTGAATTAGGAATAGGACGCTCTACTTCAAAATTGAAATTGATTAATATTAATTATTATGAGAGCCGATTTTGAGTGATAAGGATTGGACGGCTCATGACAAATGGCACCCGTGGCGAAAGCGCGGGTGGAGATCGATTTTTTGATGCATGCAGAGTACGCAAAATCAAGTAACGAAAAATAATTAATTTTATGGCCTTTACATACACGATAAAGTTGGCCAGAATATTCAGGTTAATTGTTCAAGTACATTTAAAGAGAACTTGATGTCACAAAAGCAATCGCGCTGAAATTCGTTCCAACTGAAAATGAAGTCAAGTACTTCTCCTTATTTGTTTATTTTCGTCGAAGCGACACAAATGTCATTCTCAATCGAATCGAACTTTCAGCAGGAGTGGGTTTAAAAGGACAAAGAGAAGTTGCAGGCATACTTGAGTTTAATCCTTACAGAGGAATATTTCACCCACAAGTTTAAGATCGCTGCAAGTCCTGGGTATTTCCTGCAAATTTGTTTTTCGTATGTTTGCTCTTCTTTTCTACCTGATGATATTAAGATTTCACTTTCGCCCCTAGTTTCTGTTCCTTACAGAGATTTATTAGATTAAAGGATCAAACATTTTAGCAGATTTACACACCTTGGGAATTTCGTTATGTACAACTTCATATTCTTTGTGGGAGTGAGGGTAAATTTGAGGGCTTTTTACATGTTTTGGGAAGAAAATGACCATAAATAAATCAATCTTCACATAACACTTCTAAGGCGCGGAATATTTTTAGAAAAATAATAATAACAAGAGCATAATTAATTGCAACTGATGTACGTATTCAGAGGTTGTAGTCATGATTTCATTGTAAGGATCTTGTAGCAGCCGAATGAAGATATCATTGTGAACGTGTGGTTGTATGTATGCTTATCCAGTTTGTATATAATGTGTTCTTGTTGATACATCCAGGTGACTCTCTCACGACCAAGCACAATAACCAAGACTTCTCAACCTATGACCGAGACAACGACAACGATGCTGGCAACAACTGCGCTGAGAAGTACAGCGGAGGCTGGTGGTTCAATAAGTGCCATTCCGTCTCTGCTTGGAATCCAGACGTGACAAGTAACCTCAATGGCGAATATTCCACAGCCAGGGGTGGGTCTGCAAATCCTTCTTTTCTAAGATGGAAGGGCGTTGGGCCGAGTGAAACAATATACACAAGTGAAATGAAAATGCGAAAAGTGTGAATGCCTGTTCGATTTCATTTATTCTGTGCAAAAGAATGTTCTCGATATTTCACCTATTATTAGAGGGGCTTGGCCATAATGAAACTTTCATGCCGAAGGAGTACAATCAAAATAATGTCAAGAGTTATCACAATGTTATAACACAACGTGTCCACCAAACAATCATTAAGGAGCAAGGCTAATTAACTCGGCAGACCTCGATGTGACTAGGATTCCCACTGGTAGCCTGTGACCCAGATCCACCAGGAAACAATTTTGAGATGACAAAAATACCTTTCCATTTAATGAACCTATCTGAGTGCACCGAAAAATTTGGAGAGGCAGAAATGCAGATTTCTGATGAAATTACTGCGAATAAAAGCGTGTTCCAAGTTCACGCTGTCTCCTATGCTTTGATGGCATTATTACGTTGGACTTTAATCTCTAAAGCTCTGTAACTGTACATGAAACATGTACAAGCATGGTTGATGCTTGGTAAGGAATTTTGCTCAACGATATCACTTTTCTGTCACGTATAAAAGCATGCTTACGTTCACGCGATAGTCACAATTACCCGATAATTTTGAAACAAAGTAATTAAAAACGTAATGGAAGATAAAGCACCAGTCTGTGGATGGCAGGAAACAATGTGTAACTGTAGAAAGATGTCTGACATGCTTAATGATGCACAGGCAATGTGCCACCAAACGTTGCTTCGAAGTGATTACTCGAACTTGAAAGACCCAAATGCTGATTGCACCAATGCTGTAATGAAACGTCGCCTAGCGGTAACTATAACTAACGAGTTCTAATGTATTGTCCTCGATTGATCGCTTTTTAAAATTTCACCATATTCGCCTTTGCCTGGTCCAAAGAAATGCCATAACAAACATTCAAGGTCTCCAAAACACTTTGTGTTACTTTTCAGGAAATACCATGTTTCAGCTTGTACTTAAATCGTGAAATGCAGTGTGTTTTTCAGATACATCTAGTAACCAGACTAGAAATAAAAGACAAGAAATGAAAACCTGCACGTTGTGAAAACGCCCCAGTATGAACATCGCCTACCGTTAATGGCTTATTGTAGTGTGTTAATTAGGGAATGTGCTTGGCTGGGTTTTAAACGTTGAGGAGAATGGATGCGGAGTTCGTTCTCCTGAGCAAGGTCTTGAACGTTAGTGTAAGACCGGCAAAAGCATATATTTATTCCCATTCATACCTTTTCATTAAAAGAGCCAAAAGAAGTCAACATAAATATGAATTCTTAATGATTTTGTTCTAACATGTTACTTTCATTATCCCGAGCCCCCCCCTCCATTTTATAGTTTATTCCTTTTGATAACGGTTCAATAGAATCCCTGTCAGTGAACTTGGCGCGCGCGTGCCGCCAAGCTGGACACGTACACAGATTTCTGACCAATCATGAATCATGTATCCATGTGCCGAGTCATTTACTCAGCGAGAATTATCACTTCTTAGTGGGCATTATCGAATGTAAAACCTCTTTTTCTCCTTTAATTAAGGAGGACGCTTGAGTGTTTGTTAAAATATAGAACTAATCATCTTTAACTGTTTCAAATTGGGGTACTATAGCTTTCACCGTACCCTTTATCACTATCACTGTTTAGGGTTAAGAATGGTTGTATTTAGCAATGAAATGAAAATCGGAAAAGGCCCTTTATAGTCTACATACCAGTCGAAGCCCATTACTATAATACTGGACTTCAAGGGACATGTGCTTTGTGCATGCTTAACCACATGTTATCCGTCCATGAGGCTCGAGGGGACTCTTCTACCCAATTGACAGCTACAAGAAGAACATGAACACCGTTTCAACCAATCTCAAAAGCTCGATCTGTGGAATAAAATGAAATCTACGCATTGGAAATACGATCAACACTTTAATTCAAACATAAATGAGGTTGAAATCGGAAAATATATACATACACGGCCGTCGCTACTAGGGTGACGGACCTCTTTCTGCACGGAGAAGGAGTGGTGGAGCGCTTATTAACAGGATGTTCATAAATGCTTCGGAAAGTTGTTCTATTCCTATTGGTCGAAACGCGTCACGCGACCGTGTTCAATTTAGCCACTGCACAGATGGACGTCTGGAACAAACTAAGTAAATAAGCATTTCTGGGCAACGAGTCATTTTCCAACCAAGTCCTCTGATGTAATCCTACCTCAGTATATCTCTTATCACCCCGAAAGGTTAAATATAGGCTTGTGGAATCGAAGTGTATTTTGGTAAATTATATATATATGAGCCAAATACAATACCAATTAAGATGGAGGCAGATACCCTTTAGTATAAACATAATTTAATCATGTATTTTGATTAGTTGAATCGTGAGTAAATAGAAATAGTTCACCGTAAAATAATGCGGGCGATCTATGATAACAGTGCCAAGCCGAACAGGACAACTGATCAACCGGGCAATCTCGAAGGGCAGTCTTCTCATTTTGCACACTTGCGTCATCTTCAATTTTCGTATTCTTTTCTCAGCCTGTCCTCACCTCGTTGTACGAGTAGATCGTGGACCGTCATGATCCAAAAACAAAGTTTTACTAAGCGACCGTTTATGGTGAAAAATCCTTCAAACTTTACCACATTTCTTTAGATATTTAAAGGAGGGTACACCAGTTGTGCCGTGATTTTAAAACGATTAAGTGATTTAAGGATATAAAGTTAACTAAGTTTCTTTTATTCCATTGACTTATTCCGTTTTTGAGTGAACTGCTTAGAAAAAAAAATCGAAAAAAAGCGCTGCAGCTTTTAGAACGGTCAAATAAAGATCTTGTAATCTATATCTTACGCAAATTCCATGACCCAAAGGGCGTTCTGAATGAGCGAACAAGGTACTCGTGGGGTCTGTCTGCAGATGAACAGGATGACAAGCGTTTCTGCACTTTAATGAGCATTTTTCACGGCAAAGAGTCTTTTCAGTAAATTTACGTTTTAAAAGTAATGTACATTTCCGACAATGTGACACTGTGGATTCATTGAAAAAAAAAAAACGAACAAAACAACTAAACTTCATCGAGCACTAAGTTACTTCAGTTGGCTCGTCAGTCTTGTGTCCAGGATGTGAAACGATCCTAAATTTATATCTTATGTATGTGCGTGCACGCTTGTGGAAGTCAAAAATCCATTCTCAGTTTTCTAACTAATAGTTGAGGGCACAGAGGGAATTTATATCTGGAAACAAGGAAGGTTTAACTTCTGGAAATTGTCGTTTTCGTTGACGAAAATCGTCTCAGTGTGTACTAGAACTGCAAGTAACTACTCCCTGTAACTTCTACGACAATTTTGTTTACCTGGTGTCGTAACATTACACGTATCATTTCCGTTCGACTTGTGAAAACGATTTCGACCATGTGCGGCGGTTATTACAGACCCAAACGCAAGTTTTCTTAACAACCCCTTAAAGCCAGCGCCGTGGGCCCTTGAGGTTTTTTCCCTGGAGGCATAACACTCAGGCAGTTTTCAACAATTATTTTCCAATTTCATCCTTTTCTTCTTTTCGTTTGTATGTTTCTCCCCCCCTCTTTTTTGTCATTTTCCTCGGTGTAGGAGAGAAGGGTCTAGTATTCCCTTAAACTCCTTGGGACAATCACCGACGGCAATATTTCCATGTAAATGAGACATTTCTATGGTATATAGCGTCCAATCCACTCCGTTAGTTTACATTTTGATATATATCATAAGCAATATTTGTATCGACCTCGGACGATGGATGGATTGGGGAATGTCACCCCTAAACAATACCAATTGTATTAAAGTTAAAACCAACAACCTTCCCACATATATACGCTTCACATTTTTTTCTGTAGCAGTGTACCTTTAACCGAAGACTTAGTATACATATACCGTGCAGTACATGGTACTAGTTTTTGTATCTGTAATAACTTAATGTTCACTATGAGAATACTAAAGGTAAGATAACTTTCAAGAATCTTTAAAAGAGCTAGACAAATGAAAGAAGTAACGAAGCATGTAATGTAAACCATTAGAGTGTAGCAAACGCAGTACATAAAGTTACATGTACATTACTCAGAATGTATTTTTTTTAAAGTCACAATCAGCAAAGAGCGGTTAATATTGTGTATAATGTGAAGTTTTGGGAATGTGTTGAGCTCAAAGTACAATTGGCGATGAATGCAATGAGAGAGACTTTAGGGAAGTCACAATTCCTCGAACCGCAGAAGTTGCCTCATATTGAGTAGAAGGAATGAGAACGTGTAATAAACGTTATAGTTCGTCTAATTTTAAAACAATGATGTGCTTGATTGATCTCTGTTTTCCTGTTTCTTTTGTCTTTCTCTGACGGAAAACCTACCAATCTGAGTGGTTCGCTACAGCTAAACACGTTGTAATTAAATTTTCCAACCCCGTATTCCATGTTGGGTAACAGACGACGTAGTGGTTGGCTTTTTTTTTGGGGGGGGGGGTGATTTCCTTTATCCAATTTCGCTTTGTGGTGATACTTTCTGGGTAAAACGTTCCCCACGCATTCTTCCACACACACAAGGTCACCTCTAAGTTGCAAGATATTTGCACCATCAGGCCAAATCTGGTTGTGCCATTGTGACCCTAATAAGTGTCCGATTTTATGCCTCATTTGCTGCGCTTTTATCGATGAACACTTGAAATATTTTGTAAGATGGACCAATTATGTAACTGGCAACATTGAGGGATGTTTTTCGCTCATCTGAGGGACCTTGCTTAGCAGTTAATCAATATTTGCAACGAAGGTGCAAAGGCGCACTAGATATAAAAGTGCATGACGCCAGCATATCCAGTACTGGGATGGGAATAGCCATCACTAGCCTCAGATGCCTAAGAAACGCCTTTTCCACTGATCACTGACGTCCATAGCTGTACACAACTACTCCAAACACCTCCAGCGACAGAAAATCATCTTGCAAAGCTGACTGAGTATTTCGTTTGGAGTGCTCTAGTACAAGTGGCCTTGAGTAAGTCGAAAATTTCTTGCAATTGTTGTTCTGATCAATTGCTCTCTTTTCAGGTGATCCGAAATGTCCCCTAAACAGCAACTGATTGGAGATAATGATTGAGAAACCACGTATATATAGGCAACAAGGATGTTGAACTTTCAAGGTCTGAAAGTGAATTTGACTGCAAACTTAGATTACTTAAAAGCCTTGCTGCAAAAGCCGCCAAAATAAGAAATAATACGGTGTTTCAGATGAAGGATCCTCGTTATCTTACCCTTTCGGGGGCTGGTCAACGATTGAAAAACAGGGAGTGGTATTTATATGCCCACTTTGACACAGGCCGATTAAGATCAGTGTCACAGTCTATGGGAACTTTAACAAGGAGATCACTTCACACAAAATTTTTATATTTACACCATATACATCTAAATTTATTCAAAACAATAATTATGCACAACTTGAAATTGCATGGGAAATATCTGAAAATGTCCCTCAATGCATAACTAGGCCCATGACCATAGAACGGCAAATTCATCAATCGTACTAGATTTATCTTACAATTAAATTTCCTGCCCAATTCTTATTTTACACGGTCAAATTCCTCTATACGAATTATTCAATATTTGCAATGCTCAACCATCAATTCACGTTAAAAAACTGTCAGTTTCTTGTACAACCTTTCTTCATATGAACAGTTCTAGAATCCTTATTTTGCCGGTCAATTCTCAAGGCTCAATGTTAAAACGTCTAACCACACAATCCGTCCGCACTGTGGAGGACATATATATAGTAAATTAGCCAGAGTTACTTCAAACTGCAATTCCGTACTTAATATCTAGACAAGTCAAATAAGTCGAACAAATTATACGTTTATAACCAAAATATCACAATACCACAAGTAGTTCACCACAAGGGTGACATTTATACAGCAAAGAATCAATACATTTCCCACGACGTGTGACTTTTAAACAGGTGCAACAAACCAAATAAATCAATTATCTCAAACTTTCAATCCTCTTCACAAGATAAGGCCAAATACAGAGGGAATCAAAAAAATTAATCAGAATATTACACAACAATAAGAAATTATTTATGTAGGGGAGATTTGCAGTGGTGCTCGTCACAGCTACGGTAGTTCCACACCCATCGTCCAGATTGCCAAGGCTAGTTGAATTGCCAGAGCAGGACGACGCTGTGGAGAGCCGCCTGTAGTTTTATCTACACAGGTTCGGGAACAGCGAGGCTTCACTCTGCCAATGGAGTTCCCGGCAGCTAAGACTCTCTCCAGGCTTCACAGATTAACTGGCTGCCTACAACATCAGGGATCCGCTGATCCATGTACATCATATAAAGACCATGACTGCCGTTATTCCGCCGACATATGCTTGTCCAAGCCACCCCCAATACTTCACAGAGCCTCAATCATCTGTGCCAATAGCCAAGGGACGGCACAAGCTAACCAAAATGGCTAAGTCAGCATAAATCAGAACACCGTGTTCTGAACCTGCGCGTACTGCAGTGAGTTTCCCCCAAATATCGCCATTACTATAGAAACACACGTCGCCCTCTTTTGTTCACACTGATATCCATGGAGTAATAGACTTTCATACTCGCGAGATTATCATGTAGCAAGGAAAAGAATATTGCTGCTCAACACTGCCCTCGTGTGGTCTTTAGGGAAATTAATCAAGTGTCCGCTCTTACCTTCTAGTGAGAAACCAATTAACTGCAGGAGAAACCTTCATACAGTGTCACGTGTTTGCCCTCGAAAAGTGACAAAATTATGGTACTGCCGAACATACGCCTAATAAATTCAGGATCTCACAAAATCTCCTCACAAGATATCAACACTCCAGGAAAAGCTAGAAATAAACAGCAGAATGTTATAAATGTATACCATTGCATGTATTAACTTGGCAATTTAGCAAGTGAATGGTTACCATTTTCAGGGTTTGCTTGACGAGATGCAAAATTAAGATGGCAAAAAGATACTTATACTGATCTTTAGAGTGGAATCGTGACGTGGTGTTCATTTCTGGGGGGGGCGATGTTTTGATTTTTTTCCGGAATATTGAAAAATTGCAAAAGTTAAAGCTTAACTCAAGGGACTACGAACTGAATGTACTTTGAATGGGGTTTGAGGGATTATAATTAATTTCTGGTGCATTTTGCCCACCAAAGAAAATGCATTAATGTAAAAACACACTTTAAGTCAATTTCAAACAGCAAAATTACGGGACCCCATTTGCGTTGTTACCATTTCCATTCTTCCTTGGATTAAGATGTAACCCACTTCACACCTGCTGGTCCCATTCTTGCAATTCGGCCGGCAAGCAAGGAAAATCATTATGCATACAACTTCACGTACATGTATTCCGCTCAAGGGACTGAGAGTTTCTCTACCAGGACCTTAATTCTGATCCAGAAACTGAACATTTTCAATACGAGTTCAGGATTTCAATGCAATGATCCGGTACCAGAAAGCCAAAATGGAAGGTGTTATCAAGGGTCCGGATAATATATCGGTTTGACACTTGGCAGGGATATAATTACTAAGAGGTTTCATTGTGAATAACACTGATATGGGAAAATTACTTAAAGGCATGAGTTAGCGGGGCTCTGCAAAACAGAGATCTTTGGTTTTCGGAGGCAGCGTTGCTTAATATTAAGGCTCTGACATTTGAGACAGCTAATATCACTGGGGAGAAGTTTATTTTGTCTTACTCTTTAAAGACCAGTGCGCAAACTGACAAAATCACCGCTTTAATTTATTCTCGAAAGGGAGGGGGGGAACAACAGTTCAACAACCTTAGATAAGTCTTGGAACAAACTTTGTAGTAAAGGGCAACGTCCTTTTCCAAGGTATTATTGTTGAAAATAAATTATGATTTATTTTATACTGATTGAATGTTGGATATAAATTAAAGACGATAAATCTTCAGGTTGAACAGGCAAGACTGTATATGACTCAATACATGTCGACTCATCAACACGTTACTAAGCGATGGGTCACCAATGCCACTCACACCTGATGAATAAAGTCAAAGGTATTATAGATGCTGAGCCGATGGCACATCACACCGAGTCATTCAGTGTCGGAATTAAAGGTTAAATGACAAGCTCCCCATCCTTTCCAGATCATTCACTCCTCGTTTATTATTTGATATTTGTCTTGTTTTGTTTCCCTTTGTTTCATTTTATATATTTTTTTCTAATATTCAATACTAGAGGTAAGAATTTCAAAGATTGATGTTAGACACGTCCAATGGATGCTTAAACATGCTTTGTTTTAAAAAATGTACGTGTATAATCACGCAACTTGTGTTCTCTGTTTTTAATTTCCAAACTTTTTTCAACCTTAATATTGATCACATAATAATGCACATGTAATCGTTTAAAACTGTCCCTGTCAGCATTTATCTGTGTGGAAATTCGTCTTTTCATCGAGTAACAGCAATACCATACTGTCTCTAAATATCAAAACGGATATTTACTAGGCCTAATCCTGTTTCTTAGCGCTCATTATAAATTTCAGCATTTGTAAACGGTTGATGCTGCTATCAGCATGTTAGCCTTGGTTGATTGGTCTTGCATTGCACTTTAATAGGCAGAATAGTCACTCGTTAGACCCAACTGACTTGCCTGAACATCTGTTGCCACTTGGTCCTTGGTTAATTAATCACCTACAGACCTCACATTGATTGCGTGGGACTCGTTCCACGTACTGAGACAGAATGCAGAGAACTTAGTTTATGACATCCATCAGATATTCTGTGTGTAATACTCCAAATGTTACACTGAGGACAAGAAATAAATATCATCAAAGGTTTGGAGACGGGTAAACAAGAACTAACAAAAGGGTACATAATTGTGTCGGCAAAGGTCAAAATGGGAGAGATTTTATGGGGTTATACAGGGTGAAGCAAGCAAAAACAGATAAGTGTCCGACTGCTTCGTTTGACAAAAGTCCTTCACGCGTTTAGCTCAGATTGTGCCTCAAGCTCTCAAAAGAATCAGTTGATGCAAAATTTTGGAGAAGGTGCTCTTTTCGTTATCTGACTGAATTCAACGGAGGCTGAAACATATCGTCGTGTCTCCGTGATCAGCTGTCCCATTCCTCCAGTGGAAAAATTAATGTGCAGCAAGTATACAATAATAAATGCTGTGATTGTTTTTGAAATCCTAATCACCAACTCTTCATGGAGATTTTCAGTTAGTGGTTGTGTGAATCAATTTCTATGCCAATCTGCTTTTGTTACAACTTCTGATCCCTTGGGAAAAAAATCATTCCGAATTCAGGGTTAGACAGGGAGAGAGAATGTGGTTCGCTTGGGGGTTAAGAAGACCCTTATACACTGTAGTTATATCAACAGTTTGGGTCCTTTTTGGGGGGACGCTACGTAGCGCCCTCTTCCGATCACTGACTCTTCGAAATAATGTCACACAGTATCACCTAAATTATTTACCGCCTAGCCGACGTATTCCTGGTCACACGTGAACTGCCACGTGTCACGGGCCCGCTTCATCTGGCTAGCAGGGACAAAAATCACATAACGTGGTTGTATTCGTGTTATTCGTCACGAAATCAGTGTCATCATCTGCATACGCAAAGCATGTACCTTTTTATTTATTTATTTGTTCATTTTCTGCAAAAGTTGCCTCAGGCTGAATTGAAACAGGCAGTTGGCGTTTGTAACTCACGATTTGCACACGCACTGCACCATCGCTTATTTTAGGACGTCTGAAGCACACTGCGAGGAATTTTCAAGTTTTCTTTTCGTAATTGCAATGAAAAAGGCTTCAACAAACCAATCAATGGGAAAATAAAGAAGGAGGTAGTATAAACCCAATTATTTTCTGGTACATGTAATTGCACAAAAAGGCTGGTAGCATTAGGGATTCTTCACGCTTCCTCTTTTGAAATACACGTCGACTTTATACAGCACAGGGAGTTCAGAATGCATAAGGAATCACATTGTACCGACTACTCGGTATAAAATCTCTCTGTTCACGACTCATAGTTTAAATTATGGTAATTAGACGTTTCAAAGTAGTCTATCTGTTAGGAATTTCAGAAGTCTACAACTTACAAATATACCTTTCCGTATTGTCGACCCCAAGAAGGGCAAGACCCTAACTGATTGCATTTTTTATAAAAGAACACAACCAAACTCATGAAATAAAATGGTGTGGTTTTGTTTTTGTTTTTATTTATCAAAGACGGTATTAATAAGCCAGTTTCAAAAGCATTTCCCAGCGCTGCTATATAAAGAAATATGCATGAGAAAAAAGTTGCAATTCAAGGAAAAGACGAAAATGAGTGAAAGAGAAACATTGGAGTGTCCCACTGTGAACTCAAAGACTGCTTAAAATTACATCCCATCTAACATGGCTTAAATTGTTATTACCTTTCGACTGTCCAGAGGGTATTTATTATATTAAAGAGTCGAAGCAAGAACTTTGAGTCTTTATTGAGTAGGGTTAGGCTGTGATTAAAATTTGTCCTTCGGCGTCTCAGGTAAACATGATTATTGCCATTAACTGCCTCCCATTCGCTTAACCAACTCTACTGTCAGTTAAGTAAATATTCGGCCTTAATATTGAGGCAGCTATTAATTTTGATTTCGTAACGTCAGCAGCGGTTGTAACATGGGCAGATTTTTCTGTACTTTTTTGTCTTTCTGCAAGCTATAGAACACTAAAACTTTGGCCTCGCATTCATTTAAAGACCATCAGTAAAAAGTAACCTACTGTCATTATGTCTAAAAAACAAAAAACTAGGACTAAAACCTAAAAACAAATCAGTATAGGCCTATATCGGCAGTGGACTGATGAACCAAAAATCGGAACACGTATTAACCGTAATGTTGTTCTTTGCTTATAAGTAAAAATCAAAAATTGTCAAATCTTGAAATTTGTCCGTGACTCTTGTCTGAAACATCAAGAAGAATGTCAAAATAAAATTTGACAGAAGTAGGCCCGGGCGGGTCTCAAATGCATTAAATTTGGATGGACTTACAGCCCCTAGTACGATTGAACGTAGGCAGAGGGATGAATTGAGAGCGCGGTTGAAAATGAAAAGGTGTCTCTGTATGGAGCTGTCAGTTTTCTGATTGAAATTTTGCGCTGAATGAGACAATTTTTAACTTCACTAGGTTTTCGGAAATTCGTACAGGTGTTTGCCGTGCACTACCCGACAAATTATGAAGGGGCAATACAATATGACAGCTCGGTTGTGCAGGCCTATACCTTTATATCTTGATATTTGTTTTGGTTCCCTATCAAGAAAAAAATATTATTAAGAATGAAAAGTACACTGTAAAAACCAACGCAAATTTTAACGAGCCTTTGTGCAGATTGTGAACATGCAGCCCTTTAAAATTAACCATCGTTTTGAAACATAAACGTGTTCATGTCTTCACAAAGTGTTGTCACCTGATAGGCCTTCACATTTTTGTGTGTCCAAATATTAACACACAAATATGTCATTGTGTCTATATCTATGGACACAACATTTTTCCTTAGAAATAAACACCTCAGCAGGTTCAGATTTGGATTATTAACACCACAACACATCCATAAGGTGCTACCAGGAAGGCGTTTCAAAGGTGTTAAGATACTAACACTTAGTTTTCCCTTTTTTTGTCTGAAAAACACCGAAGACACATGCATGCGTCTCATTTCGCATAACATCTCGCTTTATAAATTATGACGTTTAATAGCATAGTTTTCTGATAAACATCATTTCTAATAAACATGTTAGACTTTAACTGAACAATTTAAAGCAGGTTAGAGAGGGAACTTTTGTCCAGACAAAAATGTCGATGCAATAAAAAAGTATTGGAAAGTATTGGAAAGCCCAATAGAAAATATTTGATCTGGAAGTGCGATAGGATGATCAAGAGAGCGCTTATTCAACCACAACGCACCGGGTTTAGTTTTTTTTTAAATCAAAGATAAGATTTTACTATAGTTTAGACTTTTTTAATTTAAAAGCAGATTTTTTCGTAAGACTCGTCCAAACCCAAGTTATTATTTTTCTATATCAATTTCTTTTGTTTTACAAAATTTAATAAATGGGGATTGACAAACTTAAATAAAATCATTTTTAAAATTATCAAAATCAGAAATACACTGAAATTATTTTTTTAAGCTCAGGTGAAATGCATGTAGTATACATACATCACCTACGTGTACATGTATCCACCGAGAAAACAATGCAGTTCCTTCAGAGACACGTGCTCCAATTTAACCAAAAATAGTTCAGTACATGTAGGTTTTAGACATGCATGTTCCATAAGTTTTGACAACGATACTGTTCATATGATTTTTTTAACAAGGAACTCAAATCAAATAACCATTGAGTGAAACAAAAGCCATCAGCCGCATGTACATTTAGATTAAATGGTACATTTATACATGGATGTAGACCAGTACAACGTGCATGGTATTTCACCTTGCTCTGTGTGCAAAGATCTGTCTCGTTACAATAGGTTTGTTTGAGAAACATCTCGTTTGTGATTATCAGAGTCGTGACTCAGGACTTTATGAAGAGCATTTTGTCAGTGACTGTGGTTCCTCTGTATAACGGCCAACATCTCTGATCTCAGTAAGATACATTGCAGCGATAAAAGGTAGACGTTCACTGATACTCTAATCTTCATCATATGAAACAAAGGAAAGGACACGTTATATGAGGTGAAGTATCACGATTATTAATCCTTTATATGTAATTCATGCACTCAGGGTCAAAACAAGTTTATTTGAATCGAAGCAAAAGGCTGGAACTGAAAAAATGTCCTGCCAACCCACATTGTATGCAGTGAATGTGATTCTATACGTTTAATAAATAGCAACAACTTAGGGGGCTTGCAGGAGATTTGCTGTTAGTACAATGTGTAAAACCTGGAAAATTACAAATCAGTAAATATGTAGTATCTTCGCTTTTAAAAATTTAAATGCTGGTTTAAGGTTAACCCCTAGGGTATGTGTATCCAGTATATTGAAATGGAGCACTTGGGACTACTAGGGCTATATCAGAGACTTTTTTGAAAATCTTTTGATTTCAATCACAATTGAAATCGGTGATTTAAATAAATATGATTTAAATTGGCTCACCGTGCAACGCATACAACAATGTTTTACACTGGCCCCGTCAACTAATTCAAGGTCCAAGAGCTACACTTCACCCAATAATAAACATCGCTTCATTAAATACAGTGCAAATAATCACGAAGTGCAAAATCAGGAAAACTAGAAGTATTTAAATATTAACAGGAATTTCAAATGCAGTGTGCAGCCAGGTGCAATCTGCTATCTGCTTCGCACTGTAATTTAATCTTAAAGTTTCTTCAGCAAACAAATTTGCGCGAGTCAAAACCTTAATACTGGTGCTCATCCTTTATGTTTTGTGTTCTTTTTATTATTTTTTTCCAGTCAATTACAAATACAATTTCTGTCCTAGCGCGGATAAGCCAGGTTTTTTCCTGGAATGTTACTCTAAAATCCCCAAGTTTGTTAGTTTTTCTAATTGAGTTTTATAAAGTTTTTTTTTCTTCGTTAATTTTTTACTTCTGGGCTACCTGACTGTTGGTGCATTTTTGTTTTATCATTTGTCTCCTTCTTTCTTGTGTCTCTAAAAACAAAACAAAACAAAACAAAACAAGAAAGAAACAATCAGCCCGATTATTTATGATCATTTTGTGTTATTGTAGACTGTATGAGATGGAGGTGAGTTGTAATCAAGGATACCACATCTGTTTCCTATCTCACCACTCAAAGGGAAACAACCCAACATTTCTGCGTTTTTGATAGACCACTGTCAATTTCATCTTGGATCTTTGACAAATACAATTTCAGTCTCTGAACTGAATTGCTATTCTTCAGCAATACAAATGCGAGCAGACAAGATGCGTGCTTTGACCATCTGAAAAGGCATCGAGTTTTTCTTGAACATCCATTTTTCTCCAATTTCACCTGAAACATGTAATGTGTTAATGATTGGAAAAAGATGATGGGACTAACCTGGCAAAAAATAAGCCATGCCCACTTCGCCAAATTACAGTCTGTTAGAAAGTTTTACCTGCCGATATAAACTCGAATGTTTGCCAAACTAGTGGTCCAAAAACAACCAAGCCTGTCGTTTTTTACAACTTCTCCTTTGACAGAATATGAATTTTCGAAACGGTAAATGTGACAAGCCAGTGAGCATCAACTGAGAATGAATAACTCAGAATAGTTTGTTTGTTGTTAAGGTGTTGCAATTTAAACAAAAGGCGAGTAACTAGAAATATTGCGAAGAATTGGGGTTGGCGAACTTCAGTATTCCATTCCCGCGTAAACGGTTTTGAAATGTAAAGTGCAAGCAAATTTCACCCACGAAACTGTTTTGGTACTCTTGACTTGTCTTAAGTATGAGATTTTTGTGCATTGTTTCTCTGATGTATTTCGAAAGTTGGCGAATTATCACTTAATTCGTCACAATATCTTAAAAACGGTAAAATAAAAAAACAATACATGTATATTTTGAAATCACTTGCCGAGTGGGAAGGGGGAAGGTGTGTGTGTGTGTGGGGGGGTGACTTGCCCGGCCATGGACATTTGAAAAGCAGGGGAGGGGAGGGTGGTAACACCGTATACTCTATATAGGGGGCGATGTTCATGATAAAGATGTACATTCTCTAATGAGTATCAGATTCATGCAGAACCTTGCATCAGAATGGCATATTAATTGCTTTTTAAAATTGCTTTCCCTTTTTAGTGATATTGCAAGCATTTAATCGTTGGGATATCCTGTAAATTATTCACAGGCCGTTTCGTTTTTTTCTCATCAAAATTGGGGGTTAATAGCCAACCTCCCCCTCAAAATGTGGTTGGGCTATATACACTTCCATCCGCCTGGATTTACGCCCATGCCACGAGGCACTTCAAATGTCTCAACTTCCGTTCAATAATCCTTCAGATATGGATTTTCACAACAGCATGTAACAGTGTCTGAACAACAGTGTCAGGGAAACAGTTAGGTTCCTAAACCCCGATATAACTATGAAAAAAATGAAAGTTTCCACCGTCTAATAGTGCCATAAATTTGTGCATCACATGCCATTGAGGTTTTGTGTTACCATTCACTGGGACTACCAAACAGGTTTAGCAAATACTGCTCAGCCTTGGTTAATACAAATTCTTTTTCGCCGTACAATAAAAATTGAAATTCAGCCATACACGCAGTTTAAACCAGCACCAACAATTCTCTTAAATCAGTTCGGCATTCCTCTATTATGTGTGTTTAAAACACATTGTCAGTAGTAGATTCACTGAATTTCACACTTAAAATGTTGGTTTCATTGTATCCCAATTCCCTCATTCCAAGATATGAGCATTTCTTGCTCATAATATTTTGTACCAAAATATATCTTCAAGTCACTATACATAAGTTTATATTGAAAACTCTTTTCAACTAAATTTGCTTTACAAACTTGCACGTCGTAATGCCGTTCACATTTTACATGTAGTCGAAATATGTTATGTACTACGCGACGGCAAATTGAATTTATAGACTGTGCTCTCTGTGTGCATTTTGTAGTAAAATATGATATAGGCCTATATTATATTCCTCAAAGATCTGGCAGTCTGTTACTGCAAAGAGGTAACCATTCACAAGGGTGTAATTATATCTCGTGCATTTCAATATCTGGTGGTTTAGTGGTGGTTGACTGTGTAGGAATGGCTGGAGAGTGTTTTCCCTGTTTGGGATCGACAGGTGCTGGCCGTCCCGGTCTGGCAGGCACAGGCTCAAGGTTCCACCCATGCATCCGTGGCCACTCCCAGATTGTGTTTGGTGCCACCTGCACGTGCCTCTTGTTGTCCGTCCGGCTGGCGACAAGCATCAGGAGACAGCACATGGCCGATTCAAGCGCCCGGATGGCGGACTGCAGGAACCACCAAGCCCAGGGGCTGATGCTGGCTAGAGCCACCTCGGGCGGCGCCTTCAGCCCATACTCGCTCACCGCCGACAAGACCTGCATCATGATGGTGAGCAGTCCCACGGAGCCGCAAGCGAGGAGCAGCCCGGAGAACCGTCGCAGCGCCTCGCTTTCTATGGGGCTCCCACTAGTTCGCAAGCTGTGCCGGATCTTGCGAGCGACGTAGAAGTAACCCAGCATCATGATCAGGCCCCACAAGGCAAATATGAGGAGGGAAAGGACTTTGAAGGCCGTCGCTGCAGTTGTGATGAGGAAATGATGCAGTACATCCTTCAACACGAGAACCGATGTGTACAAGACAGTGCTAGCAACCAAGGTCCAAGTACGGTGAATAATGCAAGGCAAATTTGGGTACAATTTGGTGGTTTCCATTAATACCAAGAGGAGAAGACTGAAGGCGACGGCAAGACATGGGAATGCCAGAGACCACAAGAGATCGATGACCAGAGGGACGACTCGACAGCGCGACCCATAGGGATCCAGGCAAAGTACTATGATACGCAGCACGCTAAATATCAGAGTAGATATGTGCATGTTCATCTTGAAGTGAAAGCCGCTCATGAGACGCCCGGCCCGGAAGGTGTACAGCTTCCTCAGTCGAGTCATGGAAACAATTCCAGTGAGTGCATACACCACAGCGAACCCGTAAACGTGGATGTCCAGCCCAGCTCCCAGTATATCCGTGGTGGTCTGCCAGGTCTGCTGGCATTCTTGCCGGGGTGTCTGGGTCGTGGGGGTTCCCTGCTGCCCCCCGGGGGAAGCCCACACGGTGGTCAAGTATTCCACCGACGGAGCGGCGAATTCTTCGGTGGTGTTCTCATCCATCTGGCCAGTATTCCAGACTAGCAATCCTCTGAAAAACTCAAAACCAACATCCTGCAGACTCGACAGCTATGAAATTTGCATGCACTACATTCCAGAGATCTAATGCTTGCCTTCAAGGTACCATGTGACAATTTTCCATGACATTAAAGACGAAATGCTCCAGCATTTCAAGACGTAAATTTAATGCACGTGTCACGCCACCTGATAGCACACCATCCCTTTTCCAGCGATGCTAAATAACTCACCGCTTTTTATGTGCTCACGTCAGCTTAGGCGTGCCTCTAAGGTATATTGCATTACAAAGGAGAGAAAAAAAGCAGCACCCAAGAGTCTGCCCGTCATTGCAGATGCCTCAGTCCGTGTGTATGGAATCACACCGTATAATTGTGCTGTCTCCGCCGTCGAGGCAACACGCAGCAGCATGCCCTCCTGCCCTGTCACCATAGAGCTGCCACCGAGTACACCCGGCGTCCCGGGTTCGAAGACTTTCTTTATATAGTCGTTGTGTCAATCATGCTGACAGTCGCCATGGAAACGTGACTTGCGTACGCCTGTGCACGGTAGCAGTTCGGGGCTTGCTCCGCTGTAGCAAATAACCATAGAAACTCATCGAATTACTTCCTGTGAGAAATGAAAAAAAAAATGGCCGGCATTAAGACTCTGTGTGTTGTCGGCATGGCTTGCCTGATTAACATTCAATTCCAGTGCCATTTTGGAAGCAGGATTTCGGCATGCCAAGGATTCTATGACAGTGGGGGTCTCTAAGCCCAGCAAGCAGCTCCAGCAGTCCGTCTCAGACGGAGCGAGGGGCCGACAGCTACGTCAAGAGCGTCCTTCAAAAATCCGTAAATGGCGAGTTGCAGGCAATTACTCTGATGTCGCAATGCCACGACTGCGTAGCGTTTGATAAAATGCCGTTTTGCCCGAGTGCGGAAAGAATTGCCGCCTCCTGTTTCTGCTATCGACTTTCTGGGCTTGAATAATGCCGTAACAAGACACTGCATGGGCTCCTCAGTATAAACTTTTGAGAGGAAAAAATGCCCGAAGTCGATATACCATTATCCTCATAATGCTTGGATGGCAGTCCTCTATATGGGGGGGGGTATATCCATGTTTATTTACAACTGAATTTACATCAGTTTAGCTGTTGTTGGTTCAGATTATTTCAGTTTGACGGCTTACATTATTTCTGGATATACTTTCATTTCTGCCCCACAGTGATCGGTAATAAAGACCTCAAACTGTCCTCTTAAAATACAAAGAAAAGTGGGTTGTTCATGCGAATATCGCTGTTCCGGGACAACTGCACGCTTTACATGACGAGCCCAAGAAAATCAAATCGAGTTGAGGTTTGGTTCCCGATGAAGAATCGGAGGAAGCATTATCTGCCAGAGTTATGGATGACAAAAAAATCGTATCACACTCAAACGAGTTCATCAAAACATTGGGCTTGTTGAACGCTTGAAAATAATCTAGCAGGATAAATGAAATACACATGTAGTTCCGTGTACATGTTTTGGACAGGTGATTTCACGTCTTCGAAGCGACGTCAATTTGTCTGCGTTGATTTTACTTTCCTTTAACTATAATTGTTTGTAGCAATAAAAGGGCCAGTGTAATAAAATGTTTGAAGTGTAGTTCTTGCAAATGTTCCTTTCTGTTACATTTAAGCCTATTTTCAAATTATTTGCTGTGCCATATTTATGGCATTTTTCGCCCTTTTTGTTAGAATGCCAACACGGAATGCATGTTATGAGCAAATGTTATCCTTAGGTTGTCCAAACTTGCATTTACGTGTGATTGTCAAAATTGCTTCCCCGTTATTATAATTGTAATCTTACTGCTTGCGAAGGGGTAATGGACAAGACGTTATTTAGCCCTTACCGGACAGGCAAAGAGTTTCAAAAATTTAGTTTAATGCGGTGAAAATCTACAGGAACTCCTAAAGAGTATCGATTGGTGCTATTTGCGTCCTGCCAACCATCGAGGCATTACCGCCCCTCCGTCAATTCCTAGGTCACTTTCATAGCTATTCCACGCAACTGCGGGCCAACATCATCGCTGTTCAAGACTAGGATTAAACGGGGCTAGCACGAGCTGTAAAGGTCATCGCATGCACTGAAGATAATATCTATTTATTCAGCTTTCTGCCGTCCGTTGAAGTATAAAACTGAAGCTTCAGCAGGGTCAGCTGGGAATTCTACGATTACGCCGTGACAGGGACGAGGAGAGCAGGAATTACTTATTAAGCAGCTGACATTTCTCCAAACGCACGAACTGCGGTGTGTATGCCCTGAAGATTACAAGACTGGCCTCCACTCAACTTACCCCGAACGAAAAACAATATCGACAAATCACTCTCTTGAACAAAGATATCGACCTCCTGTCTTTGAATTGTTCCTGCGAATTTTATGAGTTCACAATGCTTTATTAGGAGGTCGATACAAGTGAAATTCACACTGAGCAATCGCATGCAACCGAGTGAGGGATAAATGCGACATTATAGTACCCTACGGCTGTTATCAAACGTTCAAGAAATCATAGATATTATGTTACATCTAGGATTTAAGTGCGGAGAAAATCTCGTATGCCTACTTATTAGAGGCTATTCTTATCTGCAGAGTTCTTCATTCTTGAGGTCCATTTAGGGCCCATTTACGCAAACGAAAATGGAATTCCTCTTGATGATTTCAGTCTGGGAGAGTGGGCACGACGCGCGATAGGACGGTAAAACTGTTATGTAAAAAAAATAAAGAGCATCTCTAAGGAAAACATTTTTTCTAATATTTATCTGTTCAAATAAATATGGAAGCATCCAAATCAAACACAATGTCATTTGTCTTCAAAGCTCAACTACAACAAGCTGAAAAGGGCTTCTTCTATCTGTTCAAGCCAAGATGCTAATTCTGAATGTAGACTGCGTCAATCGGAGAAAACAGAGAAAACGAGGGGAACCCTCGCCTTAGCTCTGTGTTCGTAGTGGATAAACCCTTGTGCATGCCAAACACTGTATGTAGCCATTCTTTGTAGTCATTTCTAGCTTGTTAAAGGTGAACTCTGAAGACAAATGACACAACGTTCAATTTGGGTGCTTCCATATTTATATGAACAGATGAAATCAGTGAAAACATGTTTGCCTGAGAGGTGCTCTTTAAAAGGTGCCGTATTTAGACAGTGCCTTCTGTCCCGTCACCGGTCTGGATATGTATGACATCAAGGTTTGACATCCGTGATTGAGTGCTCCTCGTCCTGCCTTAATACCCGAGCAGCATTCCGCCTTGTACACGTATGTAAATGTAAAATACGCGAGATGTAGGCTACGGATTTTTGATAAATATACCTTTGGGGGTGGCAGTTTTTGTGATAAAAGAAAAGATAAGAAAACGAAGTTGCTTCCCTGAAGTTATACAAAAATTGTCTCTTTTGTATTCTCTCTCAGATTCGTATACCCAGCAAGAAATGAGACAGAGGGGTACCCCCCAACATGTCCAATCCCTATACACATTCCAGAATATTGTTACTTAACACATCCCCCAAGATGTCTGACAGGAATTCCCCAGATTTCTGCAAGACAATGACTAACACAAAGCAGGGGGGTTCTCTCCGTCTCACACCTTGCTTATGCTGCATATGCAGATTCGGAGGGGATAGGCGCCCTGCCCATTTGAAACAAGATATGGTACTGAGAGAACTATACCCAGCAAGAAATGAGACCGAGGAGTACCCCCAACATGTCCAATCCCCATACACATTCCAGACTATTGTTACTTAACACCCCCCCCCAGATGTCTGAAAGGAATTCCCCAGATTCCTGCGAGACAATGACCAACACAAAGCAGGGGGGGGGTTCTCTCCGTCTCATACCTTGCCGCATATGGAGAGAACCCCTCCCCTTTTGTGTTGGTCATTGTTTGTCCGGAATCTCAGGAATTCTTTTCAGACATGAGGGGGGTATATGTTAGGTAACAATCGTCTCAAGTGTCAGTAGGGTTTGGACAAGTAGGGGCTACCCTCTGTCCCATACCTTGCCATGTGTAACAACGCCCACAATTCGTGATCATTTAAAATATTTGATGACCAAGCGAACGGGAGAAGTGAGAAACACTCACCGCAGGTAGGTGACTGTTTTAATTAACTAGGCCTCAGAACAGAAAAAAAATGTTTATTGGCCTGGATCCGACTGCCAAAATTCTAACAAGGACAAGAGTTTACGGTGAAAATGGTGTCATGGACATCAACCACGGTGAAAACTAAGGGCAAAAGAGGTGACAACTAACCGGAAACTAAGCTACCAGAGGATGAAGGGTCTGTGTTGAGAGAAAATAATAATCCCAATGCGTGATGGTCGTAGAGTTTAGCAATTCTGCAAATGCAAGATTTACAACCATTGAAAGAGGAATAGAAAACTCTATATAATAGTGTGTGTGATAAATACATGGTTATTATTATACTTAAATCATCTCTCCACTAATGATAATCCCAATAAAATATATTACGTTCTAAAGAGATCTCAGGTTAAGGGAAAGCTTTCAGCAAACAGAAAATATTAACACATAATGAGCTACATGCACACGGTGCCAAACGTTTCATTATTTGATAAGATAATTTACAGTTTCTGCATTTGAAGTCAGACATTCATCATCTTGAACGAGTACAAAGACTGGCAATAAGATTCATCTACAAAATAGCACGAAACCAGTGACAGTTACATCACTTCTCTCAGGTCATGGATGGCTTACCCTCGAGCAACAAAGAAAAATCAGTCGATTAGCTACTCTGAATAGCATTGTTGATGTACCAGCAGAGGCTGTAGTCACTAAAAACAGGTGATCATCTCGTGGAAACAAGTACATATTAAACAAACTATATGCCCGGACCAGTGCCTTCAGCAACAGCTTGTTTCCTCCGACAATCAAGGACTGGAATAGTCTCCCATCTAGTACTATTGAATCTGCATGCGAAAATAGCACATGCAACCTTTAGAGCTGAACTTTTGAAATTGTTTACTGCTTGTAAATAAGGTACCGAAGACACGTCTAGCTTCACGTCCCAAACTAGAGCTCAAATTGGTGTGATGATTCCTGGTGGAGGCTTTGCCAACTACATGATTCAGATACAGTAAGCACTGAACCTGCCAGACGGTTAGTGAAGGGAGGATGTACAACATTCCTAGTCTCATCTGTGGCTTCAGACGGTTTTTTAAGCCTAAATGGCGAATAAATACAGCGTGTCTGAATAATTTGTCTTTCCGAGAAGATTATCTTCAAGCTATTATACAAAAAATCACCCAATCCACAGCTACTTATAAGTAGGGTTAGATACGCTATGCTATGAGTAGGTCGGTATCATAGGATCGTAGCATAGACTACGTTCGCCACACTTGTAAGCTGGGCCAGTTTTAGCTGGTGCACCGCAGCAGTGGCTCTCTGTTGTGTTTCAGGCGGGGGCGCTTTTTTCATGCCATGCTTACAAGTTTGGCGAACGTAATCCAGCAACAGAAGAAGACGGTAGTGAGGCTATTAACGCAATCGATTCGTTGGTTCTGGTGAGGATGACAAGAACAGCTCTCGCCAGTATGTTGGTTTGTCATATTGACGGATGGGAAAAAGATATTTCTATAGTTTCACAGTGCCAGACGACACAATTATTACACTGACAACAACAACTGTTTTGGATTATTTTTACTCGCGATGACAACGCTCTTGTCAGTCGAAAACAAGTTCCAGTTGATGATACTCACAACACCATGCCAAAACCTGTCAATAAGTTATTTACCTGTTAACTGTGGTACTCACTGCCTGATGAGACGAGAATCGACCTAACCCCGACAAGTAATCGAGTGTGGAAAAATCTGCATTGGTAAACAGGATGGCAAGGGTTCGAATCTGCGGAAGCGCAGTACTTTAGTAATTTCATAATTGTTTTTGCGTGTCGTCGTACTCAAGTTTAATCAGGGTGGAATGCAGTGAATTTGGGTTTTGGATTGCTTTAAACAAAGCTTGATTCAACCAAGCTTAATTTCTAACACAACAGAAAACAAAAGAAATCTTTTTGGGGGTGTGAATTATGCGGAAGTGGGGAAGGCTACCATGACTTCCTTGTAGACTGCCTGTTGAAAGGATAACGATGCTTATATTTACATGTATTTATTTATTTATTTATACTTATACAAATAATCCTATTTACATAAGCGCCGCGAGGGGGGACCCTGAAAGAAATGAGAAAAAAAGGATATAGCCAAATAGATGAATTATTTGCTCGACAAAACAAAGAAAATCGACCCCCGCCTCCCGCAGTTAAATGTTAAATGTTATTGTTTTAAGCAGATAGTTTGCCCCCTCTCCCGCCGGAAAAAGTCTCCCAACGCCCATGCGCACTTTTATACAATGTGTGTTGCCATTTCGGACGAATATACATTCAATGATCTAACGTCGAGATAGTAACTCCTTGCGGTGAGATAGTGACTCTAACTTTTTTTTAAGTGGCCCGTATACGCTTCCGTACGAATCCCACTGGAACTACCTTCTAATAATTTTTACAAGCTCTCTGAATTCACGTTGCATACTATGCATAGCAAAATTTCGTTATGAATGAAAAAATCGTCAGAAGATAAAACTTGTCTCTTTGACAAGTAAAATGTGTTTGTTGATACAGACACTTGGGCAAAACATGTTTTACCTTGCAAACAAAAAGTTTTTGCTTTGAGTGTTCGATGTGAAATTAGGCCTATATTATGATATACTGCCTGCGAGGGCGATCAATAATGAAGAAGACACGTGCATATATGTGAACCTGCAGTCCATATATGCGTTACAGTAAGTGATCCCGACACAATGTGGACAAATGTGTTGAAATTTAAATAGTTCGACTTGACTTCAACATCAACCTGGCATGCATGTTTGTTGACATTAAGTTAAAAATAAATGAGTAATGTTTCAACATTGTAACGAGATGGAACATTCAGGACTTTTTAAAATTAGATTAGGAACTTCAAACCGGTGATTCCACCGCCATGAGTCTCAGATATCTTTCTAAAATTCCGACATCCAAAAGCTAAAACGTTTCATCATTGTGAAAAAAGATTAAGAAATACAGTTCTTGTCCAAGGTAACAGCCAACCCTGAGGAGTATGCATAGAACAAAGCATACATGACTCACGCGGCGAAAACTGTCCAGTGTTATGCGAACTTTCCGGATTCGTGCGATTACAAGCAAGATAAATCCCTTTCTCCCTGTGCTAATGGCACGCAAAGGCTGAGAGCTTTTCACTCATGAATCCGCGGTCGCATTAAGTCCGCTTGAAAGGTTCTGCTCTTTTAGAAAATGTCAAGCAGCAGCGCGGGTCTTTAGCGCCATAGTGACGGATGGAGAACGACAATCTCATGAAATCATGGGCTGGGTGGGTGATCTGAAACCCCGTGAATTTTCTTGAATACCCCAGTAAAGCCGGACTTTGCACGGTGAAATGCATCTAGGAGAGGTTGATAAGAAGAAAAACATACGTATCAACCGCCTGCCAAAACAAGAATAGGCCCTGTACAAACAGTCTAGAATAGGCAACCAAACTCCACTTGACAAGCTCATTAACGAAGTGTTTTAGTAGAAATAAGAAATATTTGCAATAAAGGTTTCGTCGATGAACACGTACCGTTGTATTCTGCGCCTTTTCCTGTATTCGCTGAAGTGAGTTTCCCTTTGCAATTGTTTGCACTTTACAGTTACCGATAAAGAAGAAGGAACAGGTGTTGTCTCTGGAATTTATTATAAAAATATTTACAAGTATTCGTTAAACCTGTACCAGTCTCATCCTAAAAATTTAGACACAACAATTTCTTTACATTTTCGTCAAACAACTGCTTTGACCTTCCACAGACAGCAAACAGTGCAAAGTGAAATTTCATTACCTGCAGTACACCACAAACTATCACTCAGCTGTGCATGGGTGGGCTCATTTTAGAGGACCACGGTTTTTGTGTTTTTACGAACTGACACCGGGTACGGTGCGTCACTTCTAGTGCACACTGCACTCCATGCATTGTCGTTTTCACAAACTGATATTGAAATAAAGGCAGATTCATATACTAAGCGACTAAGAACGCACAATTGTAACGTCCGGTTCCTAAAAAGCTGAACACATTTCACCTCAAGCGAATTTCGCTAGAGATGTTTGGTGACGTCAAAGTTGCTTCGCTTTCGCCTGAAGTGTAAACTGGCCTTTAATTATTTTTTTGTGTAATTAAGTCATCAAGCAAATACGGATAAATTAAAATCATAGTAAAAATTTTAAGCTTTAGCTACCGCAATAACTTTGAGTGTCAGTCTGTAAAAATAAAAATCAATCCCTTTCATGTCGGCGTCCGATGTGCACACGCACTAGTGGGAGCGGTTAGTTCGTGAAACCGGCCTTGTCGATGGAGCGGTTTTCACGAACTAACACCTACTTGTGTCGGTGTGTCAGTTCATAGTGTCGGTGACAATTTATACATATCGATCTGTTTCTTGTAAACTGCCATTCACGGGTTAAGAAATAGATAAAGTAACACCGTTTCACAACCAAGCTTTGACACATTCTAACTAGCAATGACTATTAAGTTCTTGTTTATTATCAGTTTTCCCCTTCAGTAACAGAACATGATTTTCGTTCTTGATTTGAGGCGTACCTGACACGCAGTCGATGTATACCATAACGTTTGCATTTACTTTGAAGTCAACTTAACACCCCAAACAAATCGAAATATGTTCTCAAGTTTTAAAACTTTAATTAATTGGAATGTGTTTTATTCTTCAAGTTAACATTGAGTAAATCGGTGTACTGTAACGTGGTATGCAAAATGCTGTATAATAACCGTAGCGATAGGATCCAAACCTGCTGTACAACGATAGACTTTAAAAGTGACACGCACTGCAGGCTGCCGTTTTAAGAAAGTTTTTTTATATATATATAAAGCCACAGTTTTCAAGAATAAGGCTAAGGTGATTTTTGTTTGTTTGTTGGGTTGTTGGGGTGTTTGATTGTTTGTTTGTTTGTTTGTTTTATAGGCAGCCGTGAAAGCGAGACGAATTTGACGGCATGAAGCGGCAGCGAATGTTTGACTTAAAAATGTGTTCATCTTT